TGCTGCTTCATCAAACTAAATCTATCACAATATCACTTCAACTAAAATTCGGCATAAATGAACAGAAAGAACACTAGAAAAAATGCTTGAATAAAACTTGATATGCAATCTTATAGAGCTTGTGTTGGTTCACGTCACAAAATAAGAAAAAGATTTATAGCCTAATGCAAGAAACCGCCCACGCCGTCTTCCCACTCTTCCACTAGTCAGTTAAAAGTATAACGACATAAACATGCTACGAATGAAACATCCGGAACTATGCCTACGCACATAAAAGAGGGAAAGTGGACATCCGACACATGTGTAGATCTACACCAAAGAAGGAACGGTTTGGGGGAGAGGTTTGGGACTTAATTCGAGAAGAAAAAAAAATTTACACCAAAAAGTGCCCCTGGCTGTTGTAGTCAGCCAGTTAACTGCTTATTAAACTAAACCCAGTGACATTAACGATCCTGCCACAAACACGGCACGTCATGGAAAGAAACTCTCTGAAGAACACTCATGTGTACTTGTTGCATTCCAGCGCCAAGGAACTCCATACAAACCTCACAAAATTATTTTAAAAGGGTGTTTAAACCAAGACTCCCACAAAACAGTCTCTTGTTGCAACATCAAACCCTATATGGGGGCGCTCGTGGCCTAGAGGTTAAGGTGTTGGCCTCTCATTCAAAGGTCCCAGGTTCCTATCCGGGTAGCGACCGAAAAATTTTCTTCTCTAAAATTGTCTCCTTTCACCTCCTATTCTGCTCTCTAGCAATATTCTGTCGTCTGCTTTCGTCTCCTCTTTCTGCCCCCACCCCCTCACCTCCTTTGCCCCTTCCTCTGGACTCCTGACTCTTTCTGCAGCCTTTCTTCTGCTACTCCTTGACCCCTTCTTACAGCTGTCTGTCTGCCACACCCCTGATCTTCTGGTAGGAAAGATCTACACCTAGCCTTCTCGGACAAGGGCGAAAATCTCGGAGAGCCCGTGTGCAAGTTGCGCACGTTAAAGATCCCCTGGTGATCTAAAATCGATAAGAGTAGGCTTCGGCCGCCACCCGGGCAAACATTTTTAAGTTCCTACCAACTAAAAGTATTAGGTGTGTCCCGCGCGCTTATATAACCTTATGCAGTTGCGAGCGCCGTAAAACCATCTACTATTTAAAAGAAACCAACCCCCCCCCCCCTATATTATGTGACTTGGAGAGAAACCCTGTACCAAGGTTACGGATTTCTCTGACAATAGATCTCCTACTGGATAAATATGCATCGTGAATAACTAAACAAAGAACATGAGATGTAGTGAAGAGCGCAAGGCTAGACACAGTGCTCATTCTATAACACTACTTAATGACCGACTATGCTAAAAACGTCAATAGTGTTCGTAGTGGTACCCAAGACCGACATGGTGCCGTGTCTCAAGTATATTTATTAACCAAAAGAGGGAAACAATAGAAAGAAGGGGGAAAAAACACATTCTTCTCACCACAACAAAATCTGTAACTTTCGGGTGTCTCCCATGCACCCGGTAAACTCTGGAAAGGGACACTGTCCAAACTGAGACAACTTCGCTGTCAAACTGCCACAACAGGGTGGCCACGTTCAACTGGATCTTAATGTGTACCGGTACCATAAATCATGGCAATGGTGATAATACAGAAGTTTATAAATGTCGGCTTACCGCTTCTACTATAATAGCATCACCATACAAGTACTGTATTCTACCGGCGCCCTGCGAATCACGTCATTGTACATAGCTCTTCCAACTGCATAAGGAACACCAGGGCATCGACTGAATACTAAGCTTATTAATTATTACAAGTCATAATATTATAAACACATGCTGGGCGTCATTTCTACTCATCTGACAGCTGTAGGGGCTTTTTCGGGGGGTGGGGGATATTGAGAGCCGCCAGCTTACATTGAATGCAAGGACTGGCTGCAATATTACTACAACTCCCCTCGGACATCTTACGTCTTATTACTTTCTGTACTTTCTGAACCCGATGGTGGTGATCGGGTGTCTCCCACCCTCCTCGTCGCAATTTAGTCACCCAGCAGGCATGCTGCTTCGTCACTGCTGCCTGCCAGGGCCAAATCTGGCAGTGTTTAATAATTATTGTGGGATACGTCACAGCAGAAAGACGGTTACTGTACTAAGCAAAAAGAGATGGTACATGTAGGCCTACTACTACAAACAATTAGCCTACTTCTTTTCCTAAGCACGAATCAAACTCGCGTCCTCTGCGGAGAACTTTTGAGTCGTTGCACCCCAGGTATCAATACATTTTTAAAAACCGTTTTAAACTACAAGTAATTTGTTGTTGTTTCTTTCGAAACACAGGGGGGGGGGATATAAATGAATTTAACGTAAAGTGGGCCTGCGTATAATTTTCACTCAGAACAATACTGAAACCCCTCGACACTGCTTCGTATTGTGTCATATTGTAGGCTATCATTATAGCATACCAGCGTCCCCAATCCCTATATTATTATGTTCCCAGTCTCTTCAAGTGTATCGTTCTGAGTGTTGAGTCAGGCCTGTTCATTTGGATACATTGTCCCTGCTTACCTGTCTTTCTCTCTTCTTTCATAATGTACTGTGCCTAGCAGTACATGTATATTGTCCTGGAACCCCTTTGTGTAGGCTAATCATGTTGGCTAACTTGCCCACAAAACTTGAGTTCAAACCAAGGAGCTTAAAACAATTACTTCTAATCTCCTTGGTTCAAACTTAATACGGGGTGCCCACTATGGATTGTTTTCAGCTTCCGGCGATCGAGTTGGGTGATCAGCCTGATCCAGCCGTAATGGGCACCCCGTATAAGTTGTTTGTTTTGGTAAGTGTTTTACGGCGCTCGCAACTGCATAATGTCATATGAACGCACGGGACACACATAACATTTTCTGTTCGTGGGAAATTTTTAATTTTGTCCAGGTGGCGGCCGAAGCCTAATCTTATCGATTTTAGACCCCCAAGGGATCTTTAACGTGCGCAACTTGCACACGGGACCTCCGAGATTTTTCGCTCTTGTCCGAGAAGGCCAGGAGTAGATCTTTCCTACCAGAAGATCAGGGGTGTGGCTGGAAGACAGCAGTGAGAAGGGGCTAAAGAATGGCAGTAGAGTAGAAAGGCTGCAGAAAGAGTCAGGAGCCCAGAGGAGGGGGCAAAGGAGGTGAGGGAGTGGGGGCAGAACTTAGAGGAGACGAAAGCAGACGACAGAACATTGCTAGAAAGCAGGAAAGGAGGTGAAAGGAGAAAATTTTTATCAAAGAAAATGTTTCGATCGCTACCCGGATTCAAACCCGGGACCTTTGAATGAGAGGTCAACACCTTAACCTCGGCCACAAAGAGCCCCCCCCCCCCCCCACCCCCTATAAGTTTCTTTGGGTAAAAACTTTAGTTTGGTAAATTTTTACTTTCACTCCCACACACAGATGCACTGTTTCAGGGGTCAAACTGCAGACTGTTTGCTGCAGATCACCCATAAAGCCACTAAAACTGTCGCAAATCAATTATTTTCAAGACAATTTCAAATCTGACTGTAAAATATCAAATTATGGGTAAAAACAGGGGGGCATGCCCCCCTGTAACCCCCCAGATTTTCTTTTACCCCAGTGGGGCAGGCCCCCCTGGAACCCCCCGATTGGTCCAAAGCACGTCTATCTCGGATAAAAACAATCAAATATTTCAAAAACTATTAATTTGCGACGGAAATGAAGTTGATATTCGTGTTCTGCGCATCAATATTTAGTAGGAAATAGACAACTGGTAGCTGAGTGTGAGACGGGAGGGAAAGTAAAAAAATACCTTTAGTTTTATCGACAGTCCAAAAGCACTTCTGTAAGGCCGGGGGGCGTTTGTTCTTTTTTTCCTGTTGTTTTTGTTGTTTTGTCAGATTCGTCAACGCTGTTGCTGTCTGCGCGACCCTGAGATAATATTGTTATTAATGGAATCGTTCACGATAAAAAATCGAAACACGGAAAGTACAATGTACAATCTCACGGTCCCAGCAGTCATACAGGTCTGAATCTCAATGTCAACTCTCATTGGCGGAAAAATTACATGTCGTTTGTAAACAGGAAATGACTGTTTCAGTTTACAATACCGCTCACAACAAGAAATTAGACAAATCTGCTCACCACTGCCCTGCCCACACGTCCTCACAACAAAACGACTCCACTGATTTGCACATTAATAAACTTGTTTCGGGTTTTCCCTGAACGAAGTGTAAAGGCAGGCCTATCTTTCATTAGGAGTATGAATATCAATATACTTAGCTTTCAGCGTTCTACGCAAATTGTGATTGAAACTTAAAGCTAGAAGAGTTGTGTTTATGATGATTGTTTAAAAATCAGTCAACTTTTTCTCAAACGCAAATTGAGATCAATAAAAGCACGACAAATAGTAGATTTACGCTTTTATATGATGAGACTTTAACAGGGAAACATGGTTCGACTACTCACGACAAGATGTCAAATTATCAAGAAAGACAAGATGAAGAATTTCAAGTTCTAGAGTCAATATTTGGTGACGATTTGGAAGACTTGCGGAAAAAAGTAGCATGGAAAGTAAGTTGTTTGAAACATAGTCAGTCTCTAAATCTAGTTTTCTACACTATAGATCTAGATTCTAGATCATATTATACTGTCGTAGCGACCTTTTTCTATACCACAGGAAATCGTGTCACTTGGGCGTTCTTTGGAAATTGCCTTCCCGTTCCATTATTTTGGCAGCCATTCTGAAACTGATAATTTGCCATGATGGTAACGTGAAGATTGTGTGTGGTTTTTTAAAATTAGGCTATAATTTTTCTGAGGGGGGAGGGGGGGGGGGCAAGCCCTCCTGAAACTGCCCGCTATCAGGGGGGCAAGCTCCCACTGTTTTGGCTAGTGCGCATTTATACACATATGTAAACATGGTGGGTCCTTCAAAGTTCAATCCGGCCCAAAAAAAAATTTCATACAAAAAAGGCAGAAAAATAATGCTGGCTAACAGTGGTAGGGTTCACTTATCCTACATGGCCACTTTTGTCCTTAGCAATCACTTTTGTTCTTATGTGTAAACAAATGGGAAGGCAATTTCCAAAGAGCCCCCAGATATATGTGCTATCAGTTTGTCGAGATAGAATCGCTTTAAGAATCAAGGTCTCACTTCATTTCTCTCGGGGATTTGTTCTGAACCAAGATTAGAAGAGTTTTTAAAAACAGAATGTAATCCGTCCATAAAGTCTAATAAATTTCTTCTGTGACTGCGTAAAAGGCGGAGGTATAGCCTATAATTTAGGGAATGTGGAAAAAGAGCTTTAATACCTTGGGTTTGAGCTTGGCCTTGAAGCTAGATCTGTTCATCATTTAATCAAGGTTGGGTGAAGGTAATTTATGAAGGATTCTATGTAACACTGTATAATAAGTGTGACAAAAATGGCTCATCAGTCACCAGCTGTCAATGAACGGAAGGACTTCCATAACGAGCGTCCACCCCAACAAACACAATAAAGGAGACCTTCTAACCCTATCCCTAAATCTAACCTTATCCCTACCTCAAACCCAAACCTAACGCTAGCCTATTTTCACCCTAACCCTACCTTTCTATACTTTATTTCATAGTGACCTCTCATTATAAAGGAATTCCTCCCCAAAGAACACAGGGCCTTGTTGTACAATAGAGGGTCTCATTCACAATGATTGACGTTGTTCAGAAGTGATTTGTTGTTAGGTTAACGCTTTGGTTTTCTTCGCTTGTTCCGAAAATATATAGCCTGAGGAGCCATGTCTACAGCCTTATTGTATGTTTCTTTTTTTTTTTCATTCATTGCCTGTCTACATTTTTGTTATTCACTGTTGCCTGCACTGTGATGCATGTTATGTCAATAACACAGTTGAGGAAGGTTGCAAAATAAGGCTTTATACAGTGAATTATAGTTTGTCACACATTATAGATATTTTTGAGTGATATATCATGCTAATCTTATCATTTATTGAACTGAAGACTTTAACTTTAAGCAGTTGCGCAGAGGGCCAGCACTTACCGTGACAAGGTCCACTAATCAAACTATAACACAAACAAGCGTTACAACGATTAGGGTTAGAAGGTGTTGTTGGTCGGCCGGCTCTCTTCCGAACATTATCCTGTTCAGAAGTAGTCACCAGTGTCACCTTTTTTATATTTCCCTTGCTACATTGTTGAGTCAGAGACTGAGGTGGCTTATTGAGCTAAAAAGTGAAGTGAGCATTCACAATTATAAATGCTATTGCAGGTTCAAGAGATAATCAAGGATTTATAAGCATAGTAAATGAAGATGCGGATAATTTTAATATCTTTTGGATTGGTGATTCTTTCACATTCATCCTCTTTTTGTCCCTTTGATTTAGAGAACCAAATCTATTTGTTAGAAAAAAAAAATCAACTTCATTCATCCTGCAATGGAACTGCTTACTTAAGTATAACACCTTCACCACTACACACCATTTAAAGGCTCTACTAATGGTGACCTTATAATGTCATGTTGACCTCGCTCAGGCTCAGAGTCACAAAAGTGAGGCTAGACCTAACATAATGGCAAGGCAGTGAACCGATCGCACTTCAGCGTGAGCACTCTTTGCTGGATTGCTCCAGAGCAAACATTTAATGGATTTGTGTGGGCTTTGGTGAATAGTCTGAAACCGTGTTTATTTTTAGGCTGCCTTCTGTGGGCAATGTTTCAGCTGACGTACTTTTGAGATTTGCTGTCTTATTAATATTTATGTACGACCAAGGTCATTATGTGGGCCGTCACGGCTTGCATTAGTTCAAAGGGCATTTTTCAGGTCATATTACCACCACTGAATATGCTAAGTCAAGATGAAGCATGAGGACCTTGGTATGGCGTGGTCTGGTAGATGTTTTACAGTGCTAAAGACACCGTAATGGCCATTAAGGTGTCAGTGAAGACCTTTTATTGAGATTAGGACAATGTTTTTTGCTGATTTCTTTCATTTTGTTAGCAGGTTCTTTACACAGTAGCACTTTATAAATTTTGAGTGGCACTACACGACTAGACACTTGGTCTGAATGCCAAATACATACTCCTCAATTTTCTTCTCAGAATCAGTTTGTGGAAGTTGGAGACCTAAAACGATATAAAGTATAATAACGATACCCTGAAGACTTCTCTGAAAAATTGCTCCTATAATGTGGATAAGTGGGAAACCCTCTTTTTTGGCTGATTACATTGGCATAAAATCTTTATATACATGGCAGCAAGGCTTTTGACGAAAAAAAAACCTAGTTTGTAAAGCAGAGAAGCAAGAAAATCAAGACAGTCAAATCCCGACATTGACATTAGCCCAAAAGAACACAGTGACAAGTAGTTTGTTTGGGGATTGTGGAAAATTATTCTAAAAAACAATAACGCTTGAATGTCACAAGTGGAGCTATAAGAAGGTTTAACCAACGTAACTAACAAACTGATTTAGAAGATAGGGGCACCACTTTAGGAAAGAGGCTGCTTTGGGGGGTTGTGGTGTCTGTGATCACTACAAGTTGTTTTCTAGCTTTTCTTTACTTTTCTTTCTTTACCATGCTAGTTACCTACAGTTGCTAGCAAGGTCTATAACTTCTTGTCTTCTTTGCATATCATGTTAAAGGTCATCATCAGTTTTTGATGGACAAGCTATTGTTATTATTATAATTATTATTTTGTTGTTTGTATTGTTAACTGAGAGATGCCTTTTTGCAGAAATTGGTACCACATTCATATAATGTATTGAGGTATATATTGTGTTCTGGTTTGTGGAAAAAGTAATGTAGTTTTTACAAAATATCGTTGGCACATCCTTTTTGTACATTACATAAAGCTTTTTTTCTGTGTTAACTTTCATTCTTAAGATGATTAAGATTAACTCTTTTCATAAGCTGCACATTTATCAGTATTAGGTTTTTAATTGGTGTATGGCAAGGAGCTGTCTTGTGTTGTCAAGTAGGATTTTATAGCTTTCGTTACTGCCTGTGGAAAGAAGTGAGGACAGTTTATCATCTTTTTGTATCATTACTGTTTTGTGTCTGCCAAATAAAAGAAATAAATTATGTCATTTTTATCTGTAACGATATATTACAACTTTTCTTTTTTTCATTTATCACCTAGGTTGCTCGCCCCCTGGAGCTAATACTGTCTCTGAAACCTCAGCAGAGCACAGGAGGGGAAGGACAGGTGTATGCTCAAGTAGACATGGTCATCAAATGTCCTCCACGCTATCCTGATGTGTATGTTCACCCTCACACTTAAAATAGATTTCACATTTTATGTCATATATTTTAGGCATATTGTATTCAGCCTTCCCTCGTAGATGTTGGGTCTTGATAAGAATGCTTTTTGTTATTGATATTTGTATTTTATCACATGCATGAACACCAACCATGTGTAGGTGTCTAGCTCTTTTTTCTTTTGACTCTTTCAAATGAAACAACGGATTTTCTAGCAAAAGATGGGTCTCAATAATAGCAGCCCAAAAAAACCCCGGTAAATTGTTCAGAGGCTAAAACCATCATCAGAATGGGGCTACATCATCATTGCCTTTCTCAACCTGGATCCTGATACAAGCCATGAACAAACATTTTCTACTTTTCCTTATCCTGGGCAAGTCGCTTGACGTCTCTCCGTGTCTTCCCACTCTTCTGTACATCCATTTCTGTGACTCTTCTCCAGCTTCCCTGTGGTCTTCACTTTGATACTTTACCCTGTGGGTTCCAAGCAGCTGTTTGACTTTCTGAGAGTGTGTCCAATCCATCGCCGAAGCTGTCTTCCCACCTCAACGAACAGCAGCCTTTGCACTAAACACTGGGATGTCTATTTAAAGATGAAGGAGAAGGAGAAAGAAGGAGACTCTCTCAGCCTCTTGCATCTTTCTCCAGCTGTCCAAATTTGATTAAATTTTTCCCCCCTGTTTCTCTGACCTTGAAGTTTTTGGTCATGGTGCCTTTTTAGTTATAAATATCATCTGGTCTCTTAACGTATGTCCAACCCATCATCAGAAAAATCCATGTCCTCATTTGACTGGTCAGGGTTTATTAAATCTCATTATGTCAACCTGAAGTGGTCTCTGTCATTGTCCTGTCCAATGCAAGTACTTTTTAAAGTAGGAACAGAAAAAGGAACAGCAAACAACATTACCTTGCTTCTGTCTTCACACCAGATTGATCAGTCAGTTGTCCTCTAATCAGAACTCTGCTGCTCATCGTACAACTTTTTGATCTTAGTACACTTCTCTAGTTCTTGAATTTCACAAAGTTGAGATATGCAGACTCTTTCCTCTGTACGAAACCAGTAGGTATATAGGTCACAGTTTCTTGAGAATAGAAAACTATTGGGAATTACTAGTTTCTGATTTAATTTTATTGCAATATTTCCAGGTTACATTTTTCCTTTTCTTGAACTGCTCCCATGTGGGCTGTTAGAGGGTGCTGATGGTGTTTCTTTCTTGTCTCCCTGATATGAATTATTTGTTTTGTATTTTTTTGCCCTTTGAGCACTGCTGTACACATTTGTGGAGTCTGGCCTAGTATGGTCAGCTCCTTCTACTTGCCTTCAGAGTTATTGTTGTTATTCTAATGTTCATCTTGCAAAATGTGGGCATTATTGTGCTGACTTTGCATATAAACAACATGTACATCTTAAAATCAGCAACATTTATGTTCATGTGGTGATATCTCAGCATTAGCTTGATGACTTTGCTGAAACTAAATCTTATAGTCGGCAATGTTTTTTGGTTTTGACATCATGTGTTCAGATATAAATTAATATTCAAACAATTTAAGCCTGAAAGGGTACTTAGAAAAACAAAAAAAAGACTTATTTTATTGGAATATGAAATGGATGGAGGGTAGAAGAGCATCTCAGTCTGTAGGGAACAGATGCTGTCTTGAACACAGAAACTCTCAGCTCAACTCTTGTTTCGAGGTATTTGGATTTCTTAGATTTGACTTTTTTAGCATCTTCTCGGAGGTCCATGTTTTGTTCTATCTGTTCTATCAAACTGGCTGTAGTGTGAAACTTATCTTACCTGAAAGTTTTAAAGAGACTGTTCAAGTTATTGCACAATTTCAGAAATGTATTGAATCTAGTATTTTCTTTTTTGTGTGTCAGGGCTCCAAACATATCACTGTGCAATCCAAAGGGACTCTCTGATCAGCTTCTCAATGATTTAAAAACTCAGCTCAATGATGAGGCTGCCAAGCATGTGGGGGAGGTAAGCATCCTTTTTCTTCTTTGTGTGAATGTTGACTAGTGCTCTGCATCTTGACATGAAGGTCCATTCTGTATTTTCACAAATGTTTCAAATGAACAGGTGTGGTTTGAGGATACCTCTGGAACATCTTTCTTCATCCTCTCTTCTATATGTCTCTTTTGTTTTTCCTAGCTTTGAATAATACATTTTATTCTTATGCGCCTCTATATTATTATGCCTTGCTATATTGGCTTAACATGTGATATTTTGATATTCATGTTTTTGTTAAGGCTGGTTGTACCGTCTCTTTCTCATTCCTCTTTCATTTCTGTCAATCATCCTTTTCTTCAGCTCTACGTGTACTTTTATTATACTTTTTAAAAAATGCAAAACTTTTTCTTCTGTCTTCTTTGTTGATTTGATTCTTTGGTGAGAATATAGCTGTTGTATGATAACCATGTATATAAATGTTCAGTTTCTTATTCTACTTGTGGTTGGTTGGCGGGTGCTCTGGTGTGGTTTGCTTTTTCTTTCCTATCAAACATCTATTGTCATTATCTCTCCTTCTTCTTTTTTATGTTTGTTACTCTCTTGTAACACCTTTAATCTTCTGGTGCTCATATGACCTTATGCAGTTGCCAACGCCGTAAAACCTCTACTAAAACTTAAACTTATTCTACTGCTCAGGTTCTTCCAGATTGTATTCCTGTTTGTAATGCTTGAACAGACTGGTTATTCCATCTACTATATAACCGTATGTAGCCGAATCTCATAGATTTGATCACCCACACTTTAGTTTCACACTTTTGCTTCTTTAGTTTTCTAAGGGAAGCGAAATTTTGATGCCAGAATCTGTTTGCAGGACAAACACTGTTCCAGCTAATGTTTTCTCTAAAACTCATGAACAAAAGAAGATTCTCGTACAGCCATGTTTTTCCGTTTTCTGATTTTTTAAAAAGACTTCGGGGGTAAAACATGTGTTTGTTTCTCTATTAAAAGTAGAATTAAAAAGGAAAATATTTACAAACAGAAAATATGTCAGGTTAAAAATATAGAGAAGGAGCATCTTAACTTATCTTTCACATTCTACATATTCTTCTGGGGAAGACGGTAGTGCTGGGCTGGACTCTAAATTGTGGGGACTGTCACTGTTATAAATGATAGGAGATCTCATAATGGAAATCATCAGCTGAGGGACCTTGAAAAAGACTATTCAATGGAGGGAGGAACTGCAGTGGACCTACCATAAATGCATATATTCCTGCTCTACAAACAATAAATCCGCAAAAGTAGTCCCCCTACCCTCCCACAAACCGGTAGCTGTTGATGAGGGCTTGGGCTATTTTCCTGTCTTGAACAGGTGATGGTGTGGCAGCTGGCTAACAGTGTCCAGGCATTTCTCCGTAAGAACAACCGGCCGCCCCCTCAGTCGTTCTACGAGCAGATGATCACGAACAAACGGGAACAACAGGAAAGGAACAAAGAACTGGAGAGGAAAAGAGAAGAACAGAAGGTCAGTCTTTTTATAAGGAATTTGGCATTTTGAGAAAGGTGAAGAACATTACTGTATTTTTGTGAATTGTTTTATACCTGATCTCTTTTGAAAGGTTTGTTTTTCTAGAAGGTTTTCGTTTTTGTTTCCAAACAACAGAGGCAGCAAATTGAACTTGAGGTACTTCGGCAACAGGAAGCTTTGCGGCATGAGACCCGGCGACGAAGAGTGGACCAAAAAACGGTAAGTTGTTGGGGTTTTTTAACCCCTATAGAAAAAGTTTTGTCACAAGGGTAATACAGCGATGCCAACGATTTTACGTATTTTAATACGATTTTTTGCCGAAAATACGCGAATACGACTTTTCATGAAAAAATACACATCCTGGAATGAGAAAAATACGAGATTCAGCTTAAACCTAATTATCTCAAGTCCCTTCTTTTGTCAAAATAGTATCAGTATCGCGGAACTGGAATATTTGAAAACCAAGTCCGATAAGGTCAGTAAGTTCAGTTTTGCCGGTCGCGATTGTGATGTTATAATCGTTCAGCTTTTCCCCGTCTGAGAGTACGTTTCACTTTCATGCGGACAGGCGGCAGGCGGAAGTGTATATGTGACTCTGAGGCTCGATCGGGAAAATCAGGATCTACTTTCGCTGTCGTTACCACAGAGAAGTTTGCCAGCAGTAGTCTGATAACGCAACATTTGTGACAAGCAGGTTGCACAGTATAAACGCTGTGTCGCCGTGCAAATAAAATTTAACCAATACTCCGACTCGTCTCTGTGCTGTCATTTGTGGGGGAAAAAAAGAAAAGAAAATACAAGCGTCGTCCGATTTTTAGATTGTCTGGCTCGCCATGATGACCGGTCAGTGACCCTGCTCGCTTTTGCATCATATAAATGCGGCATCATGTGAGCAAAGACCGTCTTTGGTGGGAGTAATGGCGCGGCGAAGTATAGGACTACGGAATAGGGGAGGGGATTATTGATTTTTTTTTTTTTTAAGGTACACTGGGGGAGTGGAGGGGGGGGGGGGGGGGTGAAGGCAACACCAGAGGACAAAAACTTGGAAGCTATTTCAGTATTTTGATTAGAGCTTTCTGCAAAGCGCGCGTTGGTGCAGGCCGTGTGCGGAATCGGGACCCTTCATACTTTACAAGTCTGTGTTATTTAAATAAAGTGTTCGCGTTTCATTTGATGGGTGATAGTAAATTATACCTACCATGTATGTTGTAGCTTTCTGGTCAAGACTGGCAGATTTTCAGTGTCACTGCATCTTGCCCTCCCACAGTTGTTACAACTCTCACACTGCGTGGGTCTACTTGAGCCATTCAAGTTATTGCTCTTCTCTGAGTTTGAGGAATAATTTTAGTCTGTCAGTTCAAAACATGAATCAGACTGGTTCTTGATAGTTGAGATTCTTGTTCTAGGCCCTTCCGAACGCTCAAAGCAGGATTAGTTTTTTATATAATAATGAGAGGAAAATATTATAATAGACTGAAATACTTAAGTCAAACATCTCTGGTAATAGAAGTAAATTTACTTTTGTCAAATATTGCCACAAAAAATTTTGAAGTTAAGAGTTAACTTAGACGCTGTTGTTTCGTAGTTACCAATGAGCTAAATTGAATTGGAAAGTGATATATAAATCTAGAAGGAGTGAATTAGACTTTATTTCTATAAATGCCTTCAAATTTGAATATCCCTCCCCCCCCTTTTATTTTTTAATTGTCGAACAAAACAATGTACATTCAGGGATTTTCGTATGGCACTGCATATGAGGTAGTTGTATTTAATTAGAGATATCATTGAGACAGTAGTTGTCATTGTTAATGTAAAGATTTATTTTTACTTTACGTTCCTCCCCACAGACGGACACGAGCACCCCTCTGTTTGCACCAGGTGTCAGTACGTTCAGCCCGTCTCCCTCCCCAATTGTCCCCCCTTCCCCACAGCGAGGCAACCGCCCGGTGTCCCCTGTGACTCCAGTGTTACCTCCAGGGACACCCACCAAAGCTGTGAATGTCCCGTTACGACGCAGGTTAGTGAGGACACTCAACCGTACAAACTCAGTGTCGTGCCGCTGGGCTATGGTGCAGGTCTTCTGAGTTCAAAGCTATCATTATGCATCTGCGTGTGTGTGTGTGTGGGGGGGGGGGGAGGGGGGGGGGGCTTCTTTCTTGCTTTCTTTTCAACTTCACTACAAATTATTGTTGTATCTCCACTTTGTGCAGACAGTAGGAGGGTGCCACGGATAGGTCCTACTTCTTTCCTTTCTCTTTGTTGTTTCTGTCTGTACATCTTGCTTTTTTCCAGCACTAAATGGCCATTGTGGTTTCAATGTACTTCCTTTTTTATTGACCGGAGGGTGCCATTGTTAGGTCCTGCTTCTTTTCTTTCTATCTGATGTTTCTGTGTTTCTGTCTTGCTTCATGGACGGTTAGCAGGTTCCCTGATGTGGTTTGTTCCTTCTGTCCTATCAAATATCTATCAGTCTAATCTCTCCTCCTTTTTTGTGTTTGTTACGCTCTTGTAACACCTCTAATCTCCGACACTTATATGACCTACCCCCCCAGGGCAGTGCTACTGACTTAAGTGTCTTTAGGCCATTCCCAAAGGGGGGATGTTAACATGTTCTTATGCACAGTAGAATTGTAAATGGGCTGATTTATCAATGTCATGATTCATCATGCTCATACTGTGCTGGAACAACATAGGGGGAACTGCTGCTTTTTCTTTCCTCATCCTTACTATCGTCATTTTTCTTCTACTTCTTTTGTATGTTTGTCACTCTCTTGTGAACTGCTATTTTTGGGGTGCTTTGATAGTCGGAGCAGACTTTGTGCTGTTGAGGCTAAAAAGGTGAGCAAAGTAAGCCTGGTTCCCCGTTTGAACTTCTCTGTTGACATCCACCCCTTGGTGCTCATATGACCTTATGCAGTTGCGAGCGTTGTAAAACCTTACTAACAGTTATATGACCTTATTGTTGCAAGTGCCATAAAACTCTAAAACTAACTTTCTCAAATTGCTGTGTTGTCAGACGAGCAAGCACACCGAAGAGGTCATCAGAGGGTGATGAGTACAGCCTCAGCCCCTGCAAGGACCACATGCTAGGAGTCTCTACAATGACATTTGTCAGTAATAAAACTGACACCAGAACCGTACAGAGGGGCAAGTGCCTTGGTAATGACCACATTTCTTTTATCTTTGTCGTTGTTGTTGTTGTTAATGTCATGGCATATATCCATGTAGGTGATGTAGTGGTTATGCTTTATGCTTCACCGTGTGCCCTAAAGACCTGAGTTTAATCCCATCTGGGAAAGATATTTTTATTTTATGGACCATCTTCAGTCATTCTGCTTGGATGTAGTACCACATGCTGCCCAGGTTTTCTCTGACAAGCTAGCTTGAGGCAGCCTGCCTCTTGCATGATCTAATTATACTCAAGATTGCAGGCTGGACATGATAAACACTCAGTGAGCAGTTTAAATCTAATTCATTTTGAACAACGATATGAATTAGAACGGATGAAAGTTAATAAATCAAGGCATACAAATTTTCACTCTTGTGCTTATTTGTTAGAGCTTGATGTTTGGCATCTCTCTTTGGCAATAAGTTTGTTTATGTTTGGAGTAAAGTTCTGTGATATGAAGATTCTCAGGATAGACTATCTACTACCTAAAATTCTCACCCATGCCAAATAAAATTGCCTGTGAACTACATTACGTTGATAAGAGCAATGAATATCAACAGTATCAATACAATTAAATTATGTTGACTGGATTGTGCCACAGGGCTGGGTGAACGCATATATTGATTGCTCCTTTTATTTCTTTTCAGTACTATTGTTATCATGTGGGTAGTTGGCGGGTGCTGTCGTGTGGTTTGCTCCTTCTTTCCTGTCAAATATGTATTGTCTTCATCTCTCCTTCTTTTTTGTGTTTATTATTCTCTTGTATCACCTTAAATCTTCAGCACTTATATGACAAAACTGTGATGCAAGTGGTGTAAAACTTTCACTAAAACAATATTGTTATTGTGATCTGTTTTTTGACATGCTGGCACACAGTAAGCTACAACTTGTCAACTGCTGTGTCTTGCTCCTTCTGCCTGGTGTTCATTGTAGTTAAAAACATCTCAACTGCTTAAATTAATGTGAGACTCCACCTCACACCATTTTGAAAAGGAATGTTTGATGGAGTCTTAAACTGGGCAGTCGATCTGTTATGTTGCTAAACTCATTGTTGCGGGTGGTTTGAGGACACCACTGGTAGGTCCCACTTTTGTCCTTTCCCTCTGATGTCTGTCTGTATTGCTTTTTCCCTGTACTAAATGACCAATATTGTATTGATATGCTTCTCTTTACTTAAACAGATTCATTTTAAATACCATTCCTTCGCAATATATGATATATCTGGGCTGTATTAGTCTACTTTGTGCTGTGTGATGATTGTGCTTGTGGCTAATTAGGCTAACACTGGCTCGAAAATAAGTATGGATTGTTGGAGGGCATCACTGGTAGGTCTTATTTCTTTTTTGTCTTTCTTTTGTCTCTGTCTGCTTGTCTTGCTTTTCCTCTACACTGAATTACGTCAATGTGCTTCTATTCACTGTGGGTGGTTGGCGGGTGCTCTGGTGGGGTTTGCACCTTGTGGTCAAACACCTATCGTCCTTATCTCGCCTTTTTCTTTTTCATGTTTATTACTCTCTTGTAACACCTCTAATCTTCTGGCGCTCATATGACCCTGTGCAGTTGCGAGCGCCATAAAACCTATACTAAACTTAAACTAAACTTCTATTCACTCGAACTAAACAAAAAAAATTTTAAGGGAGCATAGCATGATATACATAGTATAGCATATTTTAAGACAATATTATTGTATATCCCAAGGTCACAGCCCCAGAGGGAGAACAACGTATGCAGGTATGGACAGCTCGACCGGTGAGCTTGTGGCGGTGGCTGAGTGGGTCCTAAAGTGGCGAAACTTCAGCAAGCGGGCCAGCACTCAGGACAAAGGGGAGGACAAGGAGGGGGCCTCGCATCTCAAGCAGGTGAGATGTGCCAAGTTGTAGTTTCTTCCTGTTGATTGAAATCGACTGCATAGTGTAAGACTCTGCCATACACCATTTTGAAAAGTCACGTACGAGGGAGTCTTACCCTGAGCAGTCGAAATGAGGGTCAGTTTTTTTAGGGTGAAGCTGTGGAAATGTCCTTTTTTTCTTTTCTTTTTTCTTTTTGTAAGTGTTTTACGGTGCTCGCAACTGCATAAGGTCATATGAGCGTGCGGGACACATTAAACTTTTTCAGTTAGTAGGAAATTTTGAACTTTGCCCGGGTGGCAGTCAAAGCCTACTCCTATCGATTTTAGACCACCGAGGGATCTTTAACGTGCACAACTTGCACAAGATTTTTCGCCCTTGTCGGAAAAGGCTAGGTGTAGATCTTTCCTACCGGAAGATCAGGGTTGTGGCTGAAAGACAGCAGTAAGAAGGAGCCAAGGAGTAGCAGTAGAAAGGCTGCAGAAGGAGTCGGGAACCCAGAGGAGGGGGCAAAGGAGGTGAGGGGGTGGGGGACGAAAGCAGACGACAGAACATTGCCAGAGAGCAGGAAAGGAGGTGAAAGGAGACAATTTTAGAGAAGAACATTTTTCTGTCGCTACCCGGATTCGAACCCGGGACCTTTGAATGAGAGGCGAACACCTAAACCTCTATGCCAAGAGAGCCCCCTGAAAATGTCCAAAGCAAACTTACTTTCAATGCGGATTTATGATTTATGGTTTGATTTCTTCTCTTAAGACTCAGTTTATTTTCTTTTGTCGTTTCAATCTTTTTCTATCGTCATCCTAGAGTTCAGTATGGCATGTAGAATGTATTTTTCTCTGTCATTTTAGAGTTCTTTTTTCCATGACTTTTGCTTTTTTGACAGGTTTTTGTGTGTGTGTTTGAGTGAATGTGTGAATGTGAGATACAGAGAGAGGAGGGAGGGAGAGGGAATGTATTGACAGATGCATGAGCCTGTTTGTATTTACCATGCTGCAGCTAATTTCTCTTTGTGGAAATCACAATCAATTCTTATCTTATCTAAAAGCTTTTTGCAAGTCAGAGTCACCTTTTCGCCCCTGGGAAGGGCTTTGCCTTTACATAAGGTGAACAGAAGCAAAACCCCAGTGTTCTCCCATATTGAGTGTTTTGTATTCCCAACATTTGTAGAGCATGCTAACAAAATGAACTTTTCACAATCTGTGTATGGAGATATAGGCCGAAAATCAACACAGGAGTTAAATGTGTAGATTTTCAACTGATGCTATTTTTAAAAAGTTGAAGTGTCTGTTATTTCATCATAATAAATTGTACTAACTCAACCGATAAATTTGACATACCTATTTCCATGGGGCCAAAATCTAAGAAGTTGCTCATTTTCTCAGCTTGCCTCACATTGTTCTTCTATCTCTTCCAGGTTTTGAACATTGAACAAGAGTTTCTGACATTGTCACGCCTGAGCCACTCTCACCTGGTCCACTACCTAGCATTCCGGCACCAGTACGACCCTGGCAAGATCACAGTACAGGTGAGTCAGTTACTCAGCCGATTTACACTACTGTTTGTCTAAAGTTACGAAAGCCTGTGCTCTATTTTTGGCTGAAGAGCAGTAATTCAAAGACTTTTTGGATGGACAGTTTCAGCTGCTGGTATATGATGTGGGTTTTAACGGAGGCACACACAGGTGCCATAAAACACTAACTAAAGCAAAAATAAAATCTGATAAGTAGAACACTCCCAATTTCCTCCTAAGGAGATCTAATCATGTTTATGGTTTGTTGCTTATGTTATTTCGACTGCTCAGTGTAAGACTCCATTTTCTGCACACACCCCCTTGCCCCCTCCTCTTGGCTCCTGACTCTTTCTGCAGCCTTTCTGCCTTTCTTCTGCTACTCCTTGGATCCTTCTTACTGCTGTTTTTCAGCCACACCCTTGATCTTATGATAGGTAAGATCTATCTCCTTACCTTCTCGGTTAAGGGCGAAAAATCTCGGGTCCCGGGTGGAAGTTGCGCATGTTAAAGATCCCTTGGTGGTCTAAATTCGATAAGAGTAGGCTTCGGTTGCCACCCGTGGAAAATTCAAAATTCATTCCTACCAAACTGAAAATGTTTAATGTGTTCTGCGTCCTGATATCACCTATTGCAGTTGCGAGCACTGTAAAACACTTTTTTTTAAAACAACAAGACTCCATCATATGTCACTTTTCAAAATGGCGTGTGGCGGAGTCATACACTAAGCATCAATTTGTCACTGCAGAGTTGAACTACGTCAGCTTTCCTATCTCTCCAGGTTCGTGGGTGGTCGGCGGGTGCTCTGGTGTGGTTTGCTCCTTCTTTCCTATCAAACATCTATCGTCTTTATCTCCCCTCTTTCTTTTTAATGTTTGTTACTCTCTTGTAACACCTCTAATCTTCAGCACTTATATGACCTTATTGTTTTGCGAGTTCCGTAAAACTCATACTAAAACTAAACTCTCCAGGTTCTCATGGAGTTCTCCGGAGGCACGAGCCTATCGGTGTATGCCAGACGAAAGGACCCACTACCTCTCAGTGTCCTCAGGGGATATATATCAGAAATCTTAGACGCCTTACAGTACTTACATAAGAATGCAGTTGTTCACAGGAATTTGAGGGTAAGGAGTTCCTTCAGAAATATATCTGCTTTGATACCCTGTGTACTAACATTTGGTTTGTACCATTTACTTTTCTCGATTGATTTTTGCTCTTTATTTTTTAATGCTAGCTATTGTTTTTTATTTAACAAACTAATGGGAGAGCAGTCCATAGCAGGTACTTGGAGGATGCCGGTGACAGGTCCTGTTTGCTTTCTTTTCCTTTGTTCTTTCTGTCTGTCTTATTAGCTTTTTGACAACACGAAATGACTGATATTGTATGGATGTTACTATTTTTCAAATAAATTGTATGTAAGAATTGTTTGAGTTGTGGATTGAAAAACCTTCAGTCAAATTCATCTGAGATCTAATGTGGGACTGCAGAAGAAGAAAAGTACATTGAGATCTTTACAATTGTACTTATATGTTTTGCACAACCTTTTCAGCCTTCAAGTGTCTTCATTGACAGTGGAGGAAGGGTGCGCATAGGTGACTTTGGTATCGACAAAAAGTAAGCATATTTATTCTCTCCACATTGATGAAAGTCTTTGTCTTCATATTTGTCATTATTGTTATCCCGAGCATGCTGGTCATCATGATTATCACCTTTGTCATCATTGTTTTTATTCTCTTGTTCTCCATCATCATTAGCACCATCATCATCACTTATATTACCGTATCATGATAATCACCTGAGTTCTAGCCTGTATCTAGACTAAGGACTTTTGTAATAGTTATGACTTTTTGTGCCATCCTTTCAAATGTGGACATTATTTCTGAAGTCAAGACTCTAAAAATGACCTAAATTGTGTTGACGGGGATGTGAAATTCAAACCAAGCACATTCACTTTTAAGTCCTCCCTCTGTTTTTGTAGGGTTATTAATCTATGTTTTCCTCAAGCGATCGCTTCACTTTGTTTTAACATTGTGCTCATCAACATCTGGTAGTGGTTATGCTGAAAGTCTGCTATATTGTTCTTTAATGTCGGTAGCCTTTTTCTGTTTTCTTGATTAGTCAGTGTAGGTGGTTGGCGGATGCTCTGGTATGGTTTGATCCTTCTTTCTTATCAAACATTTATACTGGATCGATAACAACATCAAACATTTATCCTCCTCCTCCTTTTTAAGAATATGTTACTCTTCAGTAACACTTTTCACTTTTATTCTTCAGCACTTACATGACGTATTTGTGATGCAAGTGACTCAAAACACTTACTAAAACTGAACTAAATCAGATTAGTCAATGATTATTTGAAACTTTTTTCTCTTTAATTCGTAAAGTATCGTCATAGCTTTGCTACTTGAAATATTGTCTTCACTCTAAGACAAAAAACTAGTAGTCACCCTTTAGAATGAATTTAGTCTGTACCTGAAAACAATATTATTGTTTTTAAAAAAGTATGGTTTGTCTTATGTTCAAGTACTTACAAGTTCTTTTTTTGTTTGTTGCCCAATCAGGTTATGTGATTTGTATGATAGTGTAGACAAAGCGCGGCCTGGGGTTCACTTCTATGACTCTCAGCCGATGGTGTTGGGTCGAGGAGGTCAGCGTGGAGACATCTATCAGCTGGTAAGAGAGTTTGTGCGGGAATGTTTTGTGGCTTTACCAAAACATCACATGTCAGTGGGTTGTTGGTGGGTGCTCTAGTGTGGTTTGCTCCTTCTTTCGTATCAAACATCTATCATCCTTATCTCCCTCCTTCTATTTTGTGTTTGTTACTCTGTTTAACGCCATTTATCTTCGGCACTCATATAACCTTATTGTGTTGCGAGCTCCGTAAAACCTTACTACAACAAAGCATATGTCATGTAATTAAGAACTTTTTCTTCTCTTTTTCATTATCAATTTTCTTTTCTTTTTTTTATTCAACAACAGTTTGGCAATTTCCTACTCTTATTTGATGTTTTGAGGCTGTGTTGTTAGCTTTGCTTGCATTTGTCTAAGCGCATAGTATGGCACTTCCTATGCTCACTTGTCATAATATATAAGTTTTCAAGAACTTTTTTTTCTTTTTTTCATTACTGTCGTTGTAAACCTGTTCCTGTTGGGCACACCATTAGCTCTGTTGATGTCATGCTAGACTACAAAGTGAGTAACCCTGTTTCAAATATGTTGGTGGCCATTGGTGAATTTTAGTTGTTTGGAGTGTTTTCATCTCTCTCTTACCACGTTGCTTCGCTTTTTTCAGAGGTAGATACTAAATCAGATATCCTTCTTTCAAATAGCCTTACAGTTTTGAAAGAGACATTGATCCTATGCTGTATCATACTTGTGTGTCTGTGGTTGGAGAGTATCACTGGTGGGTCCTACTTTTTTTGTTTCCTTTCTGTTTTTTCTGTCTGTCTGTCTGTCTGTCTGTCTGTCTGTCTGTCTGTCTGTCTGTCTGTCTTACTTTTTCGCAGTACTAAATTACCTTTATTTTATAGTGCTGATGTGCTTCTCTTTGCTCAAACAAACAAACAATCAAACCATACTTATTGAAAAAGGACAATTATCATGTTTGCTCACCACCTCAAACTAAATCTGATAACAGTTATGTTGTGCTCTCTGTTTACCTGATGTTCTCTTTCTCTCCCCCCCCCCTCCCCTCCCTCCCTCCCTCCCTCCAGGGCCTCATGATCCTCACACTGGTGCTCGGCCAACCTATCCTGGACGTAATCCCTGAAATCCCCACCAACCTACCGGCTGTGCTGCAGAACTTTTTAGACAAGTATGTTCCTTCATGTTCATAGTTTGATGCGTCTGATGTGATATGTACCTTTTGTCAGCTTTACTTCTCTTTTCTGAAATTTAATGAGAATATATAATTACAATTTTTATGTATACCTGCATGTGTTTTTACGGTCCTGTACAGCCGAGAAAAATTTCCCTCTGGGATAATGAAGTATTATCTTATCTTATCTCTCTTTGCCGGGTGTTCTGATAAGATAGATAAAGAGAAGGATTTTATTTTGTGCACGAGAAATTATGTTCCTATGAACTGTCAGTAGTGATTATGAGAGACAAAGTACATATGTGTCATGACATCACGACGCAGTGGAATCAGGAGCTCGTCAATTTTTGGGAATATGGAGTTATTGGTACCACCTTAAAGGTTCTTCATTTGCTTTGCTTTTGCTTTAAAAAATATCCATATATCTTCATTGGAAGTCGAGATATTTGCAATCGAAGGGATGGGGGTGGCCTGGTTTCAGAAGTAAAATTAGCGAGAAAATAGTCTCCAAGGTTTGGTGACTTCCATGACTTGAGAGTCCTTGGAAATTACAATTTTGTGCCTTTAATCAACATTTTTTTCATAAAATCCACACATATTAGTGTTTTTGAATGGTCTAACATGGTATTGAGCCCCCCAAAAAAAATTCGAAAAAAAATGTCCAAACTGGCCAAAAAATGCTGATTTCTCAGATGTCATTATTTTGACGAGCGCCTGATTTCACCACGCTGCCTTACATGTTATAGACTATACAACAGTTGAACCTGCCTTGGTCGTAACCTCTCCTTAGTGGTAAACTGGGCTAACAGCCACTGTTCCGTGACACCCTCACATGAAAATTTTTTTTTAGCCAGTCCATAGTGATCCATGTTCAACACAGCCATGGTCATTCTTTTTCGCGACTGGCCGTCTTCAAAAACTTGAATATGGCATCTCTTGGTATAAAACTGTTTCACCAAGCTATTCTCAGACTGAGTGTGTACTTTAATTTGATGCAAAGAAGGTGTTATGAAAGAAATCAATTTTGATGGAAAAGAAAAGGAAAGATATAAATTTAAATTTTAGATGTGAAACAATCTAATGACTTTGTCAAATATGAAAAGTAGGTGTTGTGAAAGAAATCAATTTTGATGGAAATGAAAGGGAAAGATAAAAATTAAGATTTTGAATTTGAATTTGAAACAATCTGTTGACTTTGTCAAGTATGAAAAGTTACCATAACTCAGACCCTGTTCATAGCAGCTACCTTTCTATAACGATCACCATAACTCAGAAACCTGTCCAAAACAGTTACCTGTCTATATCGGTCACTTTTCTCTGTGATCTTGAGTGACCATAAGGCAAATTCGACTGTACATAGTGGATTTTCTGTTGTCGGCATCTGTTGGGCTCGAGAGATGGTGGTGTGAAGAGCTGGTTAAGGTCTCAAGTTTCACTCCATGGAGTGACTGTCTCTGCCCCAATTTTTGCAAACAAAGCGGGCTGGATGGTTGATGAGTGCTTTGGCATGGTTTGCTCCTTCTGTCCTACCAAACATCTATGTCCTTATCTCTCCTCCTTTTTTGTGTTTGTTACTCTCTTGTAACACCTTTAATTTTCTGCATTTATATTTCCTAATTGTGTTGCAAATGGCGTAAGGATTTACTGAAAACATAAAACAAAGCGGATAGTGTTGTATGATGATGATACTAGCCTTCTCTCTCCCTTGGTCTCTTTTCAACAAGCTGGTTGAGCCCCTCAGTCTCTACCTTCTCTGTTCTGAAGAAAACCGCTGCCCTCCTAGCAGTACGATCATCAGATATGAGTTCCCAGTTGTTAGGGTCACTATTGGCCAGCTTCGGGTTTCTTTAGCAACTCTCCTTGACACACAAGTTAAAACACATACAGAGGTTGCAATTGAAATGGGTGGGGGTCGCCTGGTGTCAGAGGTAAAGTTAGTGTGAAAATGGCTGCCAAAGTTTGGCCACTTTCAAAGCTTGAGGGTCCTTGAAAACTACAAATTTACATTTTTTTAACCTTTGACCAACACTTTACAGTTGAGTCAACCCAGAAATGTTTTTTTTAATAGACACAAAAGGTGTTGGACCAGAAAGTACAATTCGTCGGCCATCTCACAAAAGGGCGTAGCGTCAAAATTACCGGTTTTGAGTTAACACCACGATGGTATGTCCAGTAGTGAGATCTATCTTCTCTCAACACAGCATATCGATAGCTTTAAAAGTGGAGGAGTTATGAGCAAAAAACATTTAGCTCTATAGCTCTCGCGCAGGAAACTGCATCTCACATAGAGGCGTATGCCTTGTTACGCCCCTTTGTGAGAATATATACGGAGGCATGTGACCGCATACGCCATGGTATGAGATGTTTCCTTTTGTTTTCTTACTTGTAAATGAGGGGGATGCATCTCATTTCATGTTTAGTAGTCTTTAGAGGGACTTTTATACCATTAGTTCAAGTTGACACGTGTTGTTTTTGGTACCTGTGCTTTAAATTTGATCCTTGCTTTCAGCGTTTGATGTTCATGTACCCATAAAGTGATAGTATCTTAGCTCATTTGTAAGCTTATAAACATTCACTTTTTAAAGTATTTTCTACAAGTAAAAGTTTTAATTAGGTCTGTGAGTCCACAAAGATGTGGTATTGCAGAAATTTCTGATTATATTGATGATTTAAATGCAGACCCGTCTTTCAAACTTGGTTTTTGTGTCATGCAAGAAGGACATATTTGCAGCTTGTGGAAGGTGTGTATTGCTCCTGTGCTATACATACAGTCACTTTGTGGAAGAAGCAGGTTCATGGTAGTCTTTTTTAAAAAAACCCACATAGCATCGTGAGTAGAAAACGGATAAAGCCAGAAGAGAATAACTCTGTTGTCGTTGGATATTGTACTCAACCTGAAAATTTCATGACAGAAGGTGCTGTCAAGGAAGTGACTGCTGAGAAAGGTCCACAGTCCAATAAGTATAAAGAAGATAATCACAAAGGACATTGTGGAGAGGAGTTCCTTAGCCCTATAAGGGCAACACATTTTGGCACGCACAGGATTTGAGACAGGTATGAATTTGAAAGCTATGAGAAATATGATCGAAGCTGTCACACTATTGCGAATGAAGCACATGAGGAAATGTTCCAGCAATATTACAGACTTGAAGACCATTATCTATAACATGAGTTCGTTGTTGGTCACATTGACTGCTCTGAATCTATGAAAGGGACGAGCTGTTCTCACGACAGAAGACCAATACATATTACTTGACTGTCGATGGAGCACCGCCATCTGTAAGACAATATCAGCTGAAACTTCCCACCCTTATTAATGCTCATATTGCGAGATTCCCCGCTGTTGACTCACATCACTACTGTAGGTCAGTTTCGAGTTAAAAGGACTAGCTCTCAAACTTGAACTGAAGAGGAGACAAAACAAAGGCTGAACAATCGCATCCACGGAAAAGCCAAAGAGGGGAAAAAAAAACTGGGGTTGAAGCTGCAATATAATCATAATCTGAAGTGATATTATGGAACAGACTCAACAGAGACTATTCAATAACTCTTTATTTCCTACAAACCCACAGTACCAAACAGTGATCTCTAAGCCCCAGAAAAATCAAGTCAAAGACGTTCCATTGAACAACCTAAAAAACTCCCTATAGCCAAGTACACTTTTCATCAGACTTGAGGAACACACAATGTTCTTCTACCTCTGCCACATTTATCGTATGACACGTTACCACTTGCACTGTGTTTTCGCATTGAAGTGCCTTTCCAGATAATTTTAATCTTTCTTAACAAACACTTGCACAATATTTCATTGATAAACAAAGTATTATGGGCTAAAATGTTTATAAGGTATTACACAAATTCATTACCCATTCTCAGAATTTATCTTTCTAGTAATATTGTTGTTGTCTATGGATAGTGCGCAGTCCTGAATGAAAGGATCTGTGCAGAACTAGTAATTTTATACTCACTATATTGTGCAAATTCTTATAATACCTTGAAGACAAGTAAGAAAGCTTAACTCTTTAAGCTATTTACATTTCATATCGTGGAGATCCCAAATATGTTTCATTTTCTTTTCCTCGTTGCTTTTCCCTCCCGAAAATAGATCAATTTGGCATATTGAGTTGATAAACCTCTTCAATAATTAAGAAAACAATCCCTTTTCTCTTATATTCTATTACCAAACGATGTGACGTATTGTCAATCTTGTGTCTTTACGGACATAATTATGTTCTCACAAACAGGCGTATCAGCTATTTTAGACCATTTCTTAAAAAACTGATGACGCAATATCTATAACCATTATAGGGAATGATAAATCGGTGGTTGTACTAATATCTTGCCAAAAATTTTAACGAAAAAGCAAACGGTTACGCCACAGCAAGAACTTAAAAAGTGTCCAAAACTTTAAAACGCTCTCCTGAAAAATGCCAAAAATGTGAGATGAACGACGAATTTATGAAAATTGCTCAATGCATGGAAAAATTTTGATTTTTTTCAATTTCATCATTTTGACGAGGGCCTGATTTCACCACGATGCCACACATAATAGAACGACTGCACATGGGGAAAGTGGGAATTGGCTGTTTGTACAGGTGATTTTCTTGGACAGGTGGTCGTTAGAACAGGTTCAACTGTATTTGACAATTACAACTGTATAGAATTTCTATTAACTTCCAACCAAAGAACAGTCTCGGATACAGTTACCAAACCGTACATTTCTGTCCCTTGTGGTAGGTGCTTACTCAAAGACGAGAGGCTTCGATGGACAGCAGCCCAGCTGAGGGAACATGGCCTCTTGAAAGAGCCTCTTCCCTCAGCACCTATCAGCAGCTCAGTCACTCAACTGAAGAACAAAGACAACAGTGAGTATTTTATCTGCCTGGAAGATTCTGATATGACCTGTACTGCAGCAATGATTGCTCACCTGATAATATGCCATTCTCTGCAAAAACCATCCTCTACTGTTAATGCGCTTTAATATTGATGTTGCCACTTTTACTGATGAGGATCTTTTATTGTTTTATTTCTGAAACGGTTCCTTCAGGTCCAACTTCTATTTTTTGCATTCAAGATGTTTTCGTTCCTACCATTAGTCTTGTAAGTTAACTAAGGGTTTTATTGTGTTCACTGAAAAGGGACTAAAACTTAACTTAACTGACCTCCACTCTCAGATGATGACCTCGGTGTGACGAGTGAGGAGTTACTGGACAAGAAGGAGGAAGAGTTTGAGTACCTGATCAGTCTGGTGGCCAGCGGTCAGTCAAGGCTTGCCTCAGAGTTTGAGCTGCTTAAGGTGCTCGGCAAGGGAGGATTTGGAGATGTCCTTAAGGTATTTGTGAATTCAGTGAGCTTTTGGTGTCATGAAGTTTTTTTGGGGGGGTTTTCAATGTTTAGAACTTTTTGAATGTTTCTAAGTTATGAAGGCATATCTCTTGAACAAAGCTCATCTTCAAGCAGCTACCCAACACTTTGTTTTGTTAATGTATTCAGTTGCAGTTTTTGTTCGGGCCTGGCTAGTTCATTTTATGAATTAAAGCCTGCTTATTTAGCTCAGCATCAAAAGTTGCAATTAATCTAATTTGTGACATTTTCTTTTCCTTTACTCCTTTCAGTTCCTTCAGTAGTACTTGTGAAAGCATGATTAAAGGAGTTCATGATATTTTCATTACAATTATTTTGTCTCCTTGTTTGCTTGTTACGAAGTGTTTATGGTAGAAGTTTGAAATTTTAGCTCCTCCAATACTTAAAATGTTGAAACGGTCCCTTTTGTTATTGTTAGACTGGATTATTTCCCACCAGGTAAAGAACAAACTGGACGGGAGGTTCTACGCCATCAAGCGGATACCTCTCAACCCCAAGAGCAAAATGTTCAACAAGAAGATGACGAGAGAGGTGAAGCTGCTCTCCCGACTCAGCCATGAGAATGTTGTCAGGTATAGCTTTGTGCTACGGACCTTGTCTCTTGCATCTATTTTTCTAACAGAGGTTCAAAATTTATAAAGACAACTTTGGGCTGTTGGATAGATAGCAGCAGTATTGTTTAGCTGAGAACCTCTGCCACAGAGATGGCAGTTTTTGCTCTACAGCACAAGTTTCAGAAATTTGTCCTCACAAGTGATAACTGGACATAGAATTTCTGTTTAGTAACTTGGAAGGTTTTTCTTTCAGATCAAGGATACTTTTGCTATTAATCGTCCGTCTGCTGGGATATTTATCCAGTGCTTCCAATCTTTCATATTTTTACGGAAATTAGTACTTTCTGTCAGTTCCGTGCTTGCTCTTCCATCATTATCAACTCTCTCTGTAAAAAATTATGACAGTGTAGTACTACCGATATTCTGTAGCAATCAATTCGTACTCGCCTTCGTATCATCTTGTATAAGTTACTGATATTTACGGCAATTCTCTCGGCAATAAGTTAATATAGAAACCTGCCAGAATGCACATTTCGCGCAATTGGCCATTATTCCGCTAGACCCCATGCATTCATTGAGGGTTGGTCGGTGGTATATTTTTACCTGCAGATTGATCAAAATCTGACGAACTTTTTGTGCCAATTTCCTCCTGTCTGTCATTCACTCATTCTTTCTGTCTATGTTCGGATTGTTTCCATGGCTGGAAACTCTGCGCGTTGACCAAGTAAATTGACTTGTGATCCTAGACAGAAAATAACTGTCAGAAAGAAACAACAGTATTTTGCAAATTTGTGAAGATCTAGAGAAATTATCTATGCAAAGATTCCATGGCACGGGAGCAATAAGGGCCGTGGTGAAAGAAACTTACTTTTCAGTTTCAGCTGTTGGAAGCACTCAGTAGAGTGGGTGGGTGTTTGGTGCGTGCTCTGGTGTCGTTTGCTCCTTGTTTCCTATCAAACATCCATCCTACTCCTTTTTTTTATTTGTTACTCTCTTGTAACACCTCTAATCTTAAGCACTTCTTAGACCTAATTGTGTTGCAAGTGCCATAAAACCTTACTAAAACAAAAGCAGAATGGAAGCAGCCCATCTCCTAACTGGTATAAAATGCTTCTACAGGGCGTAAAACGTGTTTTCAATTACAACTCAGATACTACTGCTCGTGGATCGAGGTGAGCGACGACCCGATCCACTCCGAGAGTTCCTCCAGCTACACGGCATCCACTCAGCCGCCCGAAGTCCCCCTGGCCTCCAAAAGGGCGCCACACATCGTGCGCAGTATCCCGCTGACACGCACACCCGTTCTGAAGGCTGGGGTCAAGTCAGCCAACTCCAGCTTTGACCCTGTGGGGGACGTCGAACATCTCGTGCCACGGGCAGGGGATGAAAGTGTGGAGTGGCTTACGTCCTTTGACAAAGGTACTACACTATCATCGTTAAAAATAGCCTGTTGATGTGAGACTCAAAATACAATGTGACCTTGGTTTGAGGGCTCGTAAAAGTAGTGACTTCTCTCACACATTCGTTTTATTTTCTGCTTTGCCAAACTTCGATTTTTTAAAAACCCTTTTCATTCCTTAATCGTTGTGAGTGTGAGAGAAAGATTGAGTTTTGTTATTCCAGTTTTATTTAGAGGGAGTTTTCTTCTCATTTACATCTTGACTTTTGACTAACTGAAGCAAAACAGTCTGCAGAAGGAAGGTGAAAAGGCTTCACCATCACTCAATCTGGAAGAAGTCGCCCGTTTTCTAATTATTGGTAATTGGTTGTTTGCAAATGTATTACAATAAATGTATTTTCACTCCAACAGTGAAGAGCTAAACCATTGCACCACAGGCACTGGTACATCTTATTTGTAATAATAGCTGCTATTGGAGCATGCTCAATCATGTTTACAATTACAAATAACTTACACAAGAACTCAGATCAGATGAATGAAAAACAGGAATGAAAATGCCATCCACATCTGTAATTTTTGGAAGTTACCGAATAGCACATTGGACATAACTCTTGTCTACAATTCTTAGGTGATTAGACACTGAGATTACTCTGCCTCCCCCCCCCCCCAAAAAAAAACAACATGGGGTAATCAGATGAAGCTTGTTTTAGTAATGTAGTATGCATAAAACAATACCAATTCTAAAGTTGTATGGACGTGTGTGACCACTCGTTGCTCTGTCCTGGTAACAGTGGCCATCTTGACGATATTTTCAAAAGCATGTCCAGACATTGTGCGTGTGTGTCTCAGTGTCCAAACTCTCCTTCCCAGGGGTGAACACGCTCTTCGACTCCTCCTCCGATGAAGAAGACGAGGCAGATGTCTTTGGGCTGTCTTTTCTGTAAGTTTATTTTTGTCTCAGGGTAAAAGATCCAGGGGAAGGCCATGTGAAACCCGGGGAAGAGTTACAGAGAATGATGTACAGAAAAGTGGAAAGACATGGAATAGTATCAAGATATCAAGTTATCAGAGGCTAGCTCAGGATGGAGAAAGGTGGAAAGTGTTTGTTGATGGCTTTTACCCTGATGCTGGGTGAGAAAGACAGTGATGGTGATGATGATATTGTGATTGCTTTTTCTCTATGCCTCCTTTTTCTCAGCTTGAAATATGGCATTTATTGTCTTCTCATTAACATTTTTTCTGGGCTTCAGAGTTTGCTTTTTTATCTATTAATGTATAACAGAGAAAAAGTATCTTTAACACCAACCTCAGTGTTTTAGAATTTTAGATGAAAAAATAAAAGTACTTATTATTTCCCCTAAGTTATTATTATCATGTTCATTTTTTTTTTCACTCGAACTCAAACTCACTTTTCATTGGTAGTTGGTGGGTGCTCTGGTGTGGTTTGTCCTTCTTTCCTATCAAACATCTATCGTCCTTATCTCTCCTTCTTTTTTGTGTTTGTTACTCTCATATAACACATTTAATCTTCAGCACTTATGCGACCTAATAATTGTGTCAAAAGTGCTGTAAAACTCTTACTAAAACTAAAATTAAAACTAAAACTCACTTTTCAGACCTAAAGGCGATGCGTCTGATGACAGTATTGTGTTTGACACAGATGAAAAGGACAGCACGGCAGAGTCGCATGCACAGGTGAACCAGGGAGTCCTTTCATTATTTTGCTAATGCAATGCTTAAAACGTTAGAATCTTGCTGGCCTTTTCTTATCCCTTTCAGCACCAGGCTATTTTTTTTACTCACTTCCCTCTGGCTCAGGTTGTACTGGAGTCCTTGATTCCTCAGCCACAGCCAATACTGATAGAGTTTGCAACTCTTTGCAGATTAAAAAAAATGTCTATACTGTCTTTGCTTGAAGTTTTAGAAGATAGCATGTACAACATTTTTCAGAGACAATTGGATAGATTGCAATAAAAACACCCAACTGGGTTTGAGATGGCTTGTGCCCTGTGAATATACCCGACAGGGGCTGGGGGAATGAGAATTCATGAGGGAAATATACAGGACTGAGGGTGTAAGGGTTAAGGAGAGTTTATGGATGGCCTGAGGGTGCTAGTGCAAGGTCTTACTTCTTTACTGTCCCTCTGTTCTTCCATTCTGTCTTTGATGATTTTTATTTGTTACTGACTGACCCTTTTTATGTTAATATATGTTTCTCTTTATTTCAAATAAAGCACATAGGTTTGTCTCTTCATCCTACAGGGGGTTGGAGAGCATCACTAATAGGTCCATACTTGTGTATGTATGTCAGTCTCGCTCTTTACCTGTGCTTTATTGCTGCCTTTGTGTTAACATGCTTATCCTCACCCAAACTAAGACCATGGGTGGTTGGCGGGTGCTCTGTTGTGGTTTGCTTTTTCTTCCCTATCAAACGTCTATCGTCCTTATCTCCCCTTCTTCTTTTTTATTTTTGTTACTCTCTTGTAACCCCTCTTATCCTTTGGCGCTCATATGACCTTATACAGTTGGGAGCGCCGTAAAGCCTCTACTAAAACTAAAATACTAAGACCAGAAAAAAAAACCAGTGCTTTTCTTTTTCTCTAGCAATGCAAGCGAATGACACGACATAGATTTTTTCCCTCTTTATCTGGAAAGAAGTTCAGTTGTTTTAATCTTTTTTTAAAAGGTGACAAGTAGGTGGTAGGCAGGTGCTCTGATATTTGCTCTTTTCCTCTCAAACATCTGTCGCCCTTTTGTCTTCTCCTTTTTTATTTATTTCTGACACTCTGGGTATACCTCTAATCTTCTGCATTTATTTGATCTGATTGTGTAGCAAGTCCCTTAAAACTCTTACTAAAACTCACAATAGATTTGTCCCTCTGTCTAGAAAGAAGTTCACTGGTTTTAATCATTTTTAGAATGTGACTGTGACTTTCTATAGTGTTGACCTAATGTTTTCCCTCCCTGTATGGACAGAATGCGACTTCGGTTGAGCCCAACACTCCCAACACCCAGGAGGCAGAGATGGAACCGGATGAGTTGACAGTGAAGATTTTGTACATACAGGTGACAGTTTGTTTTTAAAAAAATTAATTTGTTCATTCTACTTGTCTCCACATTGTACAGCTAGTGGTTGGAGGTTGCTTCTGGTTGGTCTTACTTCTTTCCTTTCCTGCTGTTGTTTCTAATTGTCAGTCTTATTTTATCCAAACCCTGATTGACCAATATTGTGTCAATGGAGCTCTCTTTACTTAAACAAATTCAAACTGCATTGTTCAATTTGGCAGTTCTGTGAAGGTGAACTCAATGGACACCCAAACTCTGTCAGCAGTGCTATTGTTGAGAATGGGGGCATATGCTCCATGAAACTGTGAGTCTGTTACTAAAGTGAATGAAGTTGATTATTAACTCAATCACTATGATGAGCCTACTATTTGGGCACTTTCCTTGTCACATGAAGAGCTGTATCCTCAGTCTGAACCTATGCCACTTTAAATACACAAATTATTCAAGTTCAGACTTTCCAAAATAATATCTATGTTTTAATTCACGCATATTCATTTTTTTTAAAAATTCCCTTTTAATTTCATTTTTGCTTTTTGTTCTAGCTCTAAGGAATCTTTACTTTGACAATGTGCTTTTCTTTGCTCAAAGATGGAAACACACAGAAAGATTCACTTATACACATACCCACACACGCACAGGAACACACACACACACTCACATTAACCACTCACTCGCTCGCTCAGTGCCACACACGCCTAACCTTTGACACACCTATACTGCACAGATGGAGTACTGCGAGAAGAGCACCTTGAGGAGTTGCATCGACTCTGGCCTCTCCCTGGACATGGACCGCGTCTGGCGTCTGTTCCGCGAGATTATCGAGGGCCTTGTACACATACATGGACAGGTAAACAAATTTTTGCACACAGTCGAACCTGCTCTAACAGCCACATGTCCAAAATAATCACCTGTATAAACCATTAATTCCCTCACCTCCCTTGTGACTTATCTATTCTATAATGACACTGCAAGAGACGTCCACCTGTATTGAGACAATCACTGTTGTCTTCTATTATAAGTAGCCGTCTAGGACAATTTCTGTCATTTCTCTCATTTCTCTCTGTTGTCATCTAGTCGCGCAAACATGCAAGTTTTTCATGTCCATGAAACATTGTTTTAAAAAAAATTGGTCGTAAAGATCTTACATTTTATACAACTGAGCGCATAAAGAACAATTGATTGTTGAGATTAAGAAATTTTTAGTTAATTTAAATTTGTAAATTGAAAGTGAAGGGGAATACAAGGAATCATTGGGATAGATCATGGCATCAGGGTCAAATATTGTAAAATGTGGACAAAAAGTCACTAGTACACTGACATGGCACTGTTCACTCATCAGTTAAGTCAACATTTAATTTACTTTTTCAATTTGAAAAGAAATGGGAATACAAGACCAGTAATTCTAGAGGTGATGACTAAACACAAAACCTTTTTAATATAAATTTATATCTGTATGTGTGAAGAATTTTTTTATTTTTGTTTTGTCTGTAAATACCTCATTTCTCCATTTCTTCCCCTGTATTTTTTTACTTTCTGTCTTTTGTCCTAGGATCTTTATATTCCTTAGTGTCATCATTTTCATAGTGTCTGCGCTGGTGGTTGGTTGAGTGTTTCTATGTGCTCTACACCTGCTTTTCAGTATTACTCTTATCCTAACCTATTGATGGCAGAATATGGCATTTGTCATTTTGACTCACTGCCAATTGCTATTTTATGGATGTGAGTGGGTAGTTGGAGGGTGCTTTAGTGTAGTTTGCTCCTTTTATCCTATTAGATTTTTTTTGTTTTGTTGTTGTAACGCCTCTAATCTTTGTCACTTATATGACATGAATGTGTTGCAAGCGCAGTAAAACACTTACTAAAACAAAACAAGAAGGGTATGCTCATGCTCTGAGGGCCTCTTTCTTCATCTTATTTCTTTCTTCACTTGCGGGTGGTTGGAGGGCACAACTGGTAGGTCCTACTTCTTTACCTTCCCTCTGTTGTTTCTGTCTGTCTGTCTCTGTCTTCTTACTTTTTCCCAGCACTAAATGACCATTATTGTGTCTATGTGCTTCTCTTTATTCAAACAAACAAGCCAACAATCTTTCTTCTCCTGATTTCAGGGCATGATCCACCGAGACCTGAAGCCCGTCAACATTTTCCTGGACTCCCAAGATCACGTGAAGATTGGAGATTTCGGACTGGCCACCACGGACATTCTTGTGAAAGTATGCACTTTTATGTCGCTCAGAATCATCTAAAACATTTACAGTCATTTTTGAGAATGTTGTGCCTCAAAGTGTGATGCTACGGGATGCATACAGATGCCAACCAGTGTATAAAAACCGCTTTTAGTGCGTTTTTGAAGCTGTGGGAACAGAAGTTTATTTTCATATTCGAAAATAAATTTTATTCTTTGTTTTCTATCATTATTGCTCACATATTCTCTTTTTTGTAGCCTTGCTCCTCACGGACTTGCTCAAGCTAAAGAAAAATTATGAACTTTCAAGACTGGTTTTGAGACTAATAATGAGAACGAAGTCCATAAGTCTAATGTTGTTGTATCCATTACCATAGTTACCTATTGAGCATGAATGTATTTGAATGAGGAAGAATGTGTGTAAAGGGTAAAGTCTTTTTTTTGGTTTTGAAAAGTTGGCAGCAGGGAATGTATAGTTTCTTCTTTCTCTTCCAGCAAGGGGCCCTGATGGACCTCACTCTCCCGTCCCCTCATGAGGTGGCCTTGAACTTGTCTCATTCGGCCAGCGGAGAGGGCAATTTGACTGGCAAAGTGGGCACTGCTCTCTACGTCAGTCCTGAGGTGATGGAAGGAGGGGGCAAAGTTCGCTATGACCAGGTGAGGATAATACTGCCGTGCCAAAGCAGACCAACGTATCTGCAAAAATGATTAAATTTTGCATCTTCGTTTAAATGGATGCCTATACCCATTCTGCATCTTGTGTCAAAGGAAGGAAGACGTATCTGCACAACAAATAGGATATTTCACTATGGTAAACGTAACGTGGCTGAAGGGCCATTCCCATATTTCCAATGGCAGTGCAACGTAACTAAAATCATAAAAAGTGCTGATACGTCGCTCTGCCTTGCCACGGCAGAATAAATGAGGCTTGACTTTTGTGCTGAGGGGTTTTCGGCTCTTTCTTTTTAGGGAAAGGGGGATCCTTTCTTGATATCATTAACATCAAGGTGGGTGGTGTCCCTTTTTTATATTGTCAAACTGTTAAGATCACTGCTTAACCCCAGAAGCGCTCAGCATTTCACCGGAAGTAACCCGCCCCTAACGCCCTGCCACCACAGCTGATCAGTTGTAAACATGGGGGGTTTGGCGGGGGGGTATCAGCTGAGATATCAGAGATGTATACCAGCTACTGAAAATTTACCATTTATGGCTGAACAGATGATAAAGGGCATATAAAACCATATCTTTTGTCAAAGCTGATAGAATGAGCCATTCTCAAAAATGAAAAAGGATTTTTTAAAATATAAACAAAGTGTTTAACGGGATGAAGTCAAAAATTAGTACATTAGTACAGCGGAACAAGTGATGACACATAGCATGTAGTCGTTCAGCTGGACCGCGTCACTTTATCGATCAATATCTTGGCCAAGAGATGCACTACGAGGTCAAGGTAACTTGCAAAGTCATTGGTCACTGTTTATAACTTTGACCTGTAATTTACTAGGTCATTTTCCATCTGATGAACACTGAAATTTTCCATTGAAAAGAGTGAGGGTCTATGCCTTTTTTATAGGGCCTGTGCACTTCCTGGGTAGCCCAGCTCATGCCCTTTATATAAGGCCTGCGTACTTCCAGGGTTAAGTCAGAGAAAAGCCAAAATCAAATTGATCCACCTTAACATTTCCAATACAATTACCTTTCACCACGTCGTAAAACAATGTGAGTACATTCGCAAATTTCCAAACCGACCCAGGAATCATTGTGGCTTAAATCAGGGGGGAAAAAACTAATACTAGAAAGTTGTTTTTAATTTACTCTGGACTATGAATAAAAACTTAGACCATTCTTGTAGCATGTGGACAATAGTGGGAAAAGGGCAACTGTTTCAACCAAATTCCATCCGTTTTCAATAATAATTATAATAATAATATATAACATATATATTTCGCACTTCCAAAAAAGTAGCTCAATACGCTTTACATTGGAATATTTTTTTTTTAAAACCTTTCTTACTACTTCCTTTCTTCTCATGCAATATATATTAATGCACACACACACACACACACACACACACACACACACACACACACACACACACATACACACACACACACATACATACACACAGACTATTTTCATCCAGATATAGGAACAGAACAACTATAATGAAAAATAACGTTATAAAAGCCTGTAGGAACAGAAAATGTTTAAGGTGTCTTTTGAAGCTATCTAGTGTTTTTATTTGTCTTAGTTTCATGGGTAATCTGTTCCACATAAATGGACCAAGATATGAGAAAGATCTCTCTCCATATGATTTGTATGATTTTACAGGTGTCACAAGTAGGGTGTTATCGTTTGATGATCTTAGGTTTCTCCCTGGCTTATATATACTGATAAGTTCTTGTAGATAAAAAGGAGCAGTTTTATTTACACATTTGAAACACATGACGCAGATTTTAAATATTATTCTTTCTTTTACAGGGAGCCAATTAAATTAGTTTGTTTCCTATGAACGCAACTCACTGTTTTACACCTACAATTGTTTTGTATATGGCAGAAAGCAGTATAAGATGTAAGTGTGGCTTCTGCTTCACAGGCTGAAAGCATTTTCCATATGTCATAAGTGCTGAAGTTTTGAGGTTACATAGATCTCAACAATAATTTGAGGGGGGGGGGGGTTTACCTTATGTGACATGTCCACTTAACTTCTCACAGTGCTAGTATCAACCAAATGGATTCTGTGCAAAAGGTTGCTGTTGTTGATTCAACCCGCGTTTTTTTGTTGTTTTTTTGTTTTTTTTAAACTGCGTTACAACTGTCACCTGAGAAGGATTTTGTTGTTGTTTTGATTTTCACAGAAAGTGGACATCTACAGCCTGGGTATCATATTCTTCGAGATGTGCCACAAGAGTCTGCCCACAGGCATGGAGAGGGTAAAGATTCTAAGCAATCTAAGGACACCATACATCATCTTGCCAGAGGACTTTAATGGCAACGGTCTCTCTAATCAGGTCAGATTTTGGTTTGATACAAAATTGTTGACGTCCAAGAGTGATATCTGTTGTGTATTTTTGTAAATGTTTAGATTGCCTTGCATGGCGTAGACATGTCATCATTTTGGAAGTCAAGGAGAATTGGAGAAAGGGAAGAAAGAAGCCCGATCAAGACTTACTTTTTTTATTAAATAATTATGCAGTGAAGTCAATGGCTAGGTACCTGCATCTGTGGTATAGCGGGTAGACTTTTCACTGTCACTTGCAGGAGACCAGAGTTTGATTTCCGATTGGGGAGTAAATTTTTATCGAGTATCTCAGTCTTTCTACTGGGTTGTATCCCTCTCAGCCCAGGTTGGCCTGACAGGCAGGGTCGGAAACTCGCCTCCTAAATGATCTGAATTGTGTCGATAGGGGAGTAAAAACACTTATATTTAAACCCAAAAAAAGATGGCCAAGTCTTTTCTCCTTATGGAAAACGTTTACTTCATTTATGCTACTTCTTGTCAGTTTGTTAGTGTTTGAGTGTGTTTGTTCCTCAGTTTGTACTGTATGCTTTCCAGGATGCCAAGAATGCTACTGAGTGTTCTGTGGGGTAATAATAATTTGTTGCCTCAAAACTATTTTGCTCAAAGCGCCTCTTTACTTAAGTACACTTTTGATAAAATAGTTCTGAGACGGCAAGTTGTAAAGTGCTTAAAGCATGCTGCAGAACGTGGATGTGCGCTATATAATTGCAATTATTATTATTACAGGCTCAGCTGATCCGCTGGTTGTTGAACCATGACCCGTCATTACGACCGACGTCCAAGCAGCTTCTGTCCAGCGACCTGCTCCCAGCTCCACAGGTTCACGACACAGAGCTCGGCGAGATCCTGCGCTCAACGGTGTGCAACCCCCAGTCCTCACAGCACCGCCACATGCTCAGCGTCATCTTTGGGCAGAGTGTGCTGCCCGTATATGACTTCACTTACGACCAGGAAATCTATGAGGTAATGATGATAATATCGGTTCGTTCATAAATGTCTGACGATAACCAATGCATCTGCAGAGGGGAATATTTCTCAAGAGAAATGGAAGAAATAAAGGTTACGGTAACTTGTGGCTTCTGCTATGGCCAATATAAGACCATTTCTGGTAGAGAAAGATTTGCCACATTTTGAGCATTCAAAAGCTCCACTTCTTGTGGATGATGCCGCATATTGGGAGGGTGTGCTTGCAAGACTTTTTACTACAATACATTAAACATTTACACATAATTTTGGGAGGCGCGCACACTATTTAACATTCACCTAAGGCGTCTATAAGGTTATGAGGTACAATGCTCCACAGGAGAGGGAGTAAGGTCGATAGAGCGTGACTGTCTTTGAAGTATGATGTATAAATGTCAAATATTGAAATATTAGGAGGGGAGGAAATGTGTAACTTATGAAGGTGAGGAAGGAGATGGGGGGAAGGTGCATTCATGACTTCCAATAAGATCAAATGTTTCAAAGGTCAGTTGTCGCATTAGTGGGTGTGTGGTGGGTCTCAAGTGTGGTCTGCTCCTTGTGCTGCTTTTAAATAGAAGTATTGTCTCCATCAACATTCTGGCAAAATGTGCCTTTTGTCGTGTGAACTTTTTAATGCTGAGAGTGACCTAATCTGCTTCCTGGGGTCTATTGTGATTTAAGACTTAAAAGTCAAACCCATTGTTATCTCTTTACCTGTTGTTTTCACACAAGAGCATCCTTCCTTCCTTAGCTGACAGTTTTCAATAATAGGGGCACACAGATGACTTGGCTTTTGGTTGGAGGGCGCCACTTTTATTGTATTTCTTTTCCGTCTTTCCCTCTGTTGTACTTTTCCCCTGTAGTCAAAGACTGCTATTTTGTGGATATGCCTCCCTTCACCAAGACATGTCTCTTGGCAAGCAACTCCCTCAACCATCCCTCTCTTTTCCCGGATTCTTTCTCGTGCAAGTGGTAGAAGGGCGCCAGTGGTATTTTCTACTTCTTTTCTTTTCCTCTGTTGTGACTGCCTATCTGTCTTGTTTCTTCTCTCTACTACATGATTATTATTGTGTCAATTTGTTTCTCTTTACTAAAACTCAAACTCAAACTCAAACCTGACTCTTATTTGTGGTTGGCAGATGCTCTGGTGTGGTTTGCTCCTTTTTTCTTATCAATCATCTTTCATCCTTATCTCCCCTCTATCCTTTTTGTGTTTGTTACCCTCTTGTAACACCTCTTATCTTCGGCCCTTAAATGTTCTAGCTGTGTTGCAGGGTGCCATAATAAAACTGTTACTATAATAGAAAACAGATCTCTTGGCAAGCTTTACCATCCTTCTCTTTTCCCTGACTCTCTCTCTCCAGAACATGGTGACCCAGAAAAGGGCGCTACTCCAGCAGCAAGTGGAGACAACTTTGACCCAGCTGCTGGTGAGCCACGGAGCCGTGCGGATTCCGCTGCCCATGTTCATGCCCAAGTCGAGCGTGTACCAGAACGCAGAGCAGCTGGTGCAGTTCATGGACCATCGGGGCAGCCTCGTGGCCGTGCCGCTGGACCTCAGGGTCAGTCATGGGTGGAGAGGGGGGTGGGGAGGATTAGTCACAGGGTGGAGGGGGGGTGGCAAGGAGGTTAATATTTTTATGCCACTAAGATGTCCACCTGTCAAAGACAACTGCTTTTCTCCTCGATAGTAGGTAGCTGTCATGGACAATTTCGATTGTACTTGCCAAGGTGAAAATTTGAATGTCAGATGTAACTTGTCTTCCAATCTCATCTGTTTCAGGTACACAAACTAGTGAAATTGATCTTGTGCATGCAAGGTGTATTTCTAATCTTGGTACACTCATGTTTCATATTACAGCAAGAATTTAGTTTCATTCATAACAAATATATTGTGTTTCCCTCAGAACAGCAAGATTTTGCTGTGATTGTATTGTCATTTTGTTGGTCCTTGTTTTTCACCACTGTATAATGCAATTAACATCTTCCCTCTCTACCCCCCCCCCCCTCCCATCTTATATCGTAACTTTAAATTGTTGAAGGGGTAACTTTGACACTATATACAAATGGCAGTTTTCATTTTTCTCTCTGGTGTTGCTTGGCAGGTACCTTTCGCCCGTTATGTTGGACGAAATAACATCCAGTCTATGAAGAGATTTGCCATTGAGAAAGTGTTCAGAGAGAAAAAGTTTTATAACATCCTGTACAATGTCCACCCAAGAGAGCTGACCGAGTGTGACTTTGACATCATCACTTCCTCCGGAAGGTGAGTTGCTCTCTCCCGTTTTTCGGTTTAAGGTACACCACGGCAGTAGCTGACAGCCACAAAAAGTCAATTTTGGACTATTTTAGTAGAGCAACATCAGCTTTATCGATTGGAAATATTTTCAAATGTCTAAAACATCTATAAAGTGCTCACATATGCCATGTTTGTGAACATTTTGTTGAAATAGACCAGTATGAATTCGGGTTTTTTTCAGTTTTCTCAAAACTATGATTTTCTTAGGGGGGTGGGTCACCTGTGCAGAGATATTTCTGAAAGTACATGTCACAGCTCAATCCCACTTTGCTTGACTGTTTCTAGATAATAATGTTTGCAACGTACTAAAAGATTATTGCGATATTGTAATACATTTTCTGTCAGTGTTAAAAAAGATTGACAGTATCACTCTGATTTATGATTAATTTTTTGTCAATGTATCGTATATGACACTAAAAGAGCAGTTACAAGAAAAGTATGAGACTTTGGAAAGTAAATCTTTTGTACGTTGCAGGTTGTATATACAGAAACACTGTCTGTATCAATTCAATCTTTTTCAGAATCCCTGCACAGAATTTGCGCAAATTTGGTCTGTCGAACCGTTTGCATCTGAAGAATTCAGAAAATTGACAGTGAAATCATATAGGGATATGTGTTTCTGTTTCTTGACCCATATTGGGAAGCCCAGTATACTTAATTTAGAGCCCAAACAAAAATTTTCACTTCAGCTGTACCTAGAGTCCCTTAACTCCTCATCTCCAGCAATTGCTTCCAGTGGCTTTCAGTCAGAACTGCTGTGCCAGTGATTCGTTGGCAGCAGTTCGGTCATATTCTTTTGCCATGCCACAACGTGTCATTAATTTTCGGCATTTGTCGAAAACAGGTCTCTCTTACCTTGAGTTTTTTCATTAGGTGAAGAAGAATAAAAAATAGATTAGTTTTGTACCTAAAGAGGGCTCCAGCATAGTAGATATCTGAATGAAACTTCTTTTTTGTAAATGGCAAATTACCCTCAGTATTAGTATCGGTACCGGGTTGGCTACCTCACTTTTCTGTATATTTTTAAAACTTTTGTCTTGTACATTGGTTTATGTTTTTTTTATGAAACTGGTTTGTTCTTAAATGGGAAAAGTTGTCCAGTAACTTACTAAAATCACTAAAATTTCATGATCTCTTGTCCTTTTATTCACTGAAGGAGAAATAATAAAACAGATTTGTTCCTACTAGTACAGGGGTATGAGATTGAATGTGCCACACCCCCACACCCCCCCTTTTTTATTCCAACCCCCTCATCTATTAATTTTGGACCACTTTTATTCGATACCTTAGAGTAGGACCAAAAGAGGACTCTGTATCAGACAGCTGTTGTAGAAGAAGAAAGCTTGATAACTGCAAGAATCACCTGCTTTGTTTATTTCCTTCAGTTTGATACCAGATGCTGAGGTGCTGACCGTGGTTCAAGAGGTCATCGACTTGTTCCCCTCTCTCCAGGTACTCTGACCTTTGCCCTCTACTCAACATCTACTGAAATTTTGACTTTACTGTTGTGTGTGGGTAGAAATTGTTTAACCTACTGATTTTAGCAGTATAAGATAATAATAATGATGATAACGATCACTTTTTACTACTGTGCGTGTAGAATTAGTTAAGCATATGTGAGGCATCGTGGTGAAATCAGGCGCTGGTCAAAATAATGAAATCGAATATATCGGCATTTTTCCTCCAGTTCGATAATTTTTTTCTCATTTTTGTTTTTTTCATGCGACACCTTTTACGTCCATTTAAAAACATATTTCTGTGTGGATTTATATGGAAAACATGGATTAAAGGCACAACGAATGTAAATTTTCATTTATCAAAGTCTCTCAATATTTAGAAATCACCAAACATTGGCGGCCATTTTCTCACTAATTTTACCTCTGAAACCAGGCGACCTCACCTCCTTCATTCATAAATATCTCAACTTCTGTTCAAGATAAGTGTGTATTTTTTTCATCTAAAGATGGACAAATGAACACGCTTTAAGATGATACCAATAACTCCAGATGCCCTAAAACTGACGAGCGCCTGGTTCTACCGCATCGTGATACATATTGTTTTAAGTAGCATAAGATAATAATGATAAAGCTCACTTCTATAGCTCCCACCCTCTGATGGCTCAAGGCGCTTCACAATAAAATAAGATTTAAATCAGCGTTTCATGCATACTGGCCCATTCAACATACAAAAAGTCTTTAAAATACATATACGCCCGTAATCTGACAAAGAACACATACACGGAAAGACAATCACTGTGGCTACTGATCACACCTGCTATAGGATGATAAGACTATGCTTTAATTTTATCTTCCTGTGGGGGAAATTATCACAATGCATTCAAACTTGAACAATAAAACCCCATACAAATCTGTCACTACTGGGGCACATTTTTTAGCTATCCATGGTCAGTTTTCTTACCTGATGATTGAATTCATTATTGGTTAGTGCCCTGGTGTGGTCTGCCCCCCCCCCCATACTTCTTTCCAGAATTTTTGCATCTCAATCTGTTCTCCTACCTCCCGGGGCAGTGCCACTGACTGTAGTGTATTTAGGTCATTCCCAAAAGGGGGACATTTCTCGTTCAAGCTTAGTAGAATTGTAAATGGGCTGACTCATGTCATGCTCATAACTGTGTTTACAACAGGGAACTGCTGCTTTTTCTTTCCTGATCCTCACTATCGTCATTTTCCTCTACTTCTTTTGTATGTTTGTCACTCTCTTGTGACCTGCGATTTTCGGGGTGCTTTGATAGTCAAAGCAGACCTTGTGCTGTTGAAGCTAGAGAGGTGAGCAGTCTAAGTCTGATACCCTGTAAAGACTTCTCTGTTGACACCCACCTCTTGGCGCTCATATGACCTTATGCAGTTGCGAGCGCCTTAAAACCCTCTACTATAAAAAAAAAAATCTGTTCTCCAGGAAATGTAGCCTTCATGACACTGAATTTCAAGTAAACAATGTTACTTTCAACAATGTGAATAATGAATATTTTGGCTGAAATAGTTTTCTGTGCTTTATGTACTCAAATGCAAACAACAAAAAACCATAGATATGGGGTACATGGAAGCGGAACCAATAAATTGGAAAAAAAAGAATATTAATCAGCAGACAGGAAAAAGAGGCTAAAACAGCACCTGGACATGGATGGCTGGTGCCTCTATAAATAAATCATTGATGGTCACAGTCTAGGCAAACAACAAAATACTGTGGTATTGTGAAGACATCAGCTGGTATGGCAATCAAGTATTTCGTACTCAAATTTATATGGAATTATTTCTCCCTCAGAATCGCAAGTATTGTGTTAGGATCAATCACATGTCGGTGCTCAAGGCAATTCTGCTCCACTGTGGCATACCAGAGACGACACATCAGAGGGCGTTGACCTTGTTGGCAGAGACTATGGTTAGTGGTTTTTTTCTCTTTTGTCTGCCTCAGCTTCAGAGGGACAATGGCAGGTAACTAAATATATTGCAAGGGTCGTATTGAATTTCAACCATTGGAGTGGGTGGTCGGCTGGTGCTCTAGTATGGTTTGCTCCTTCTTTCCTATCAAACATCTGTCGTCCTTATCTTTCCTCCTTTTTTGTGTTTGTTACTCTCTTGTAAAACCTTTATTCTTCGGCACTTAAGTGACCTAATTGTGTTGCAAGTGCCATAAAATGCTACTAAAACAGGAGTGTTTTTTTGTGTGTTTTAGATGTCAGTAGCTTCCAATGCTACCAACACAAGTTCTGGTTTAACAAGAGATGCAAGAAATACTTTTACTTACCAAAATTTGTGTGCATTGTCTGAATGACCAAGTTAATGTCGAAAACTTGTTTAATTCAACCTTTAAAGAAACTTTTATTTATGTAGTTGTAATGTGCTGCTGTCTAAATTATAAAATTTAAAAAAAATTTGTGTAAAGATTTTCAAAATTATGCGTCCTACTGTAACATTATAAAAATAAATGACAATAATGTGTATGCCTTTTTAAAATAAATTCACCAATGAGAACACATGAGATTGACTTTTCATTCTTTCTCGTTATAGTTTCTTGTAAGTTGCCTAGAGTTGTGGGGCTCCCTACTACATGTCAGCGTGTGTTTGTGTTCCAAAAGCAGACAGTAATGGTGATGCTGGTCATATAGGGACTTTTGTCTCGAACGCTCTTGACAATTTTGTTATCTGAAATAGGAGAAAAGCTGTGTGTATACACACCCTTCTTTGAATTTGACATTTTATTGTGTTAGGAGCGAAGGGGCCATTTGAGGTGATGAACAAAATTTAGAGATGTTAAGTTATATAGAACAAGGTGGTGCATCACATGAATATGTGTCTCTATTTCAAAAGGGGAGTATGTAAACTAAACTCACTTCCCTGGTGCATTAAATGGGTCAAGTAAAGTGGTGGTGCAGATTATTTTTTTCTGTTGTTTTTAACCCTCTTTGCACTAAAACTCAATTATGATACTAAAATTTCTGTTGTACATGTGGGCAAAAGAGAAGTTGAATCTCCCTTACACATGAAACATTGATTGTTTTTTATTTCCAATGTCTGTCTTGCTGTCTCAGAATAATAAAGCCAAGAGAACTGCTGCCCTTGAGTCTGAGCTGAAGGTGAAGGTCACAGAACAGCTCTCTGCACTGTTGGATACAGAGGGGCCACTAGGGAAAATCTCAAGCATCTTACGCTGCATCACGAAGACCATGGGTCAGGTACATGAGAACTGGATTGTCTCTCTTTTCCTTTCCTTTCCTTTACACTCGAAAGGCTGTCCTCTTGAATTCCATGTTTTTACATCACCATTCATGGTCCTTATTATTCTTTTCTCTCAAAATATATATTCAGTATTCCCATATTTCATAATAGCTTTTCTAGGTCAGTTTTTTTTTTCTCCCACAAATGCTTTTCTTTGTTTCTTTTGGAAAATGTGATTTGAAATTAGTTGGGTTTCTAGACTCATTTCATACAATTAAAAGGGGCTTCATCTGTGACAAATCAAAGGAGGTCAAATGTGCTTTGGAGTTGCTCATTGCCATCGAGGTTGCTTTTTTGGTGGGAAAATGAAGAGAAAGCCACAGATACAACAAAGTAATGCAAAAAAAAAGCCCTCTTTTTGTCATCTTTCTGCTTTGTTTGCAAAACTGCACCCCAGATATGATTGAATGCATGATATTGCTTAATGATTCAAAGAAAATCTTACTCTAAGCACTTTTTTACCGAGTGAGCGAAGCTGCGAACCAGCCAGTATTTGTTTATGTCAAAGGTATTTTGTTTATTTGCTATATTTGCCCTTGAATGGCTTAAGTTCCTACTTCTTATTTTTCCTTCTGTTGTTCCTGCTTGACTGTCCGTCTTGATTTTTCCTTGAAATAAATGACTTAGTATGTTGATGTGCTTCTTATTCATCAAACCGTTTTCAGTAAGTTTGAATTTATGATGTGTCTGCTGGTCTTGCAATAAAATTTTTTAACCGTCAAATTTTGACTTTCAGGCGAGCACGTTAGCAAAGAGTGGCCTTCACGACCTTGAACATATTCTGTCACATGCCACAAGTCTGGGGCTCAAGCTGGAGGTTGGTTATGTTACTGTTGTTGATGTTATGTTTGTGGGTGGTTGGCAGGTGCTCTGGTGTGGTTTGCTCTGTCTTTCCTATCAAGCATCTATCGTGCTCATCTCTCCTCCTCCTTTTATGTGTTTGTTGCTCTCTTGTGACACCTTTAGTCTTCAACACATATATATGACCGAAATGTATTGCAAGTTCCATAAAAAGATCACTAAAACCAAAAATATTTCTCCGCCTTTTCTTTGTATGTTACTCTCTAGTTACACCTCTAATCTTCGGCAATTATATGACCTATATCCCAAGTGCCATAAAACTCCTATTAAAACTAATCTGTTCAAGTGCCATCAAACTCTTACTAAAACTTTTCCATTTTTAGTGCCATAAAACTCTTACTAAAACTTTTCTGTTTGAGTGCCGTAAAACTCTTTCTAAAATCAATTGTAAGTGTCGAGTAACTATCCAGCTGTCCTTCGCAGGTGCTCGTGTCTCTGGGCCTCATCTACAACCCCCAGCAGTATTCCGGCGTCGTCTTCCAGGTCATGTGCGACAACAGGAAGAAGAAGCGAGTTGTGCGAGAGGTTCTGGCCGCCGGGGGTCGCTATGACAAATTGGTATACTGGGACTGATACATCTCTTCGTGTTTTTTTTTTAATGCTTTTCATTAACCATTTTACTGTTACTGGAAACATGTTTCACTTTTGATTTCTAACCAGTGGTTAGGTAAACAAAAAACTTTTTTCTTTTTTTAAAGATGTTTCTCAATGATTATTTTCTTTACTTTAAGAGTTTATATTATCTTGTCAAAAATATTTTTTTGCTCATGTCTTGCTGTTTATCTAATATATGTGCATATATATAATACATATATAATGCTATGTCACTGTATTGGTCAAGAATATATTTTTTTCTGGAATTTTGTTGTTGTTGCAATTAGTCATGGTCTTCTTTTCCATGCGAACTATCACAAAGTTCCTAAGTCATGGTATTTCCCACAAATTGAGTGATTTTTGTTTTTCCTTAAGTCAAGTTATAAGGTTTGAATCTTGTTTCTATGCATTGCACATAAGTAGATACATTTTTAAATTTTTCACACACTGTTTTGATTTTCATCGTGCTGCAAAAATATACTGTTCCTTGAAATCTGTATTGATCTTCTTCAAACATTCCTAATTTGTGTTCTTTTTCCTGGGCTCAGATTGAGAGGTTTGTGTCTCCGCTTCACTCCACTAGCCGGCCGGGTCACGGGGTCGGGGTGAGCATCTCTTTCGACAAGCTGGTGGCTGTGGTGGAAGAGGAGGAGCAGGTAGTCTGTCTGTTTTTGTCTGTGTGACTCGACTTTTATCTTTTGCTAATTCCACTGGTGCCACATGGAACCTGGAGAAACATGGCAGATAATTATATACAGAAAAGTGGAATAATATCAAGAGGCCAGCTCAAGATACGGAGAAGTGGAAAGTATTTGTTCGTGACCTGTACCCCGATGCAGGGTGAGAAAGGCAGGGGTGATGATAATGAATTCTACTGGTAATGATAATAGTTCATCCATCAATGTATAACAGTGACCAATGCATCTGCTGAAAAGAATATTTCTTAAGTGAAAAAAGAGGAAATAAGGCTTAGGAGAACTTTTTCTTTGACATATGAGACCAATTCTGGCACCAAAGTGTCATATTTTTTGCATTTAAAAGCTTCATTTCCACTTGTGGATGTGCGCATCTGGAGGTGGTTTGGAATGCCCTAAAATTACAATGATATTGTTGTGCCAAAAGTCTTTATCAGTGTGAGGCACTCTGTTCACATATAACCGTCAGCCACAATAGTGCATGTAGTTGATTAATGCTTTCGTGTAGTTTGTTCTGGCTCCACTTCTTTTCAGTGTTAGTATTTTCTTTATCTGTTATCTATTCCCGATGAAGTGTAGCTGACTTGCTGTGGATTTCAGATCCACAATTATAACCTATAGTCTTACTATTCTGTGACCTTTATAAATTGAAGAAACTTGATGAATTTATAGTCCAAGCCCAGTTTACTCGCAAAAGAAGCAAGAACATGTTAGAAATTACTCTTTTCTAGAACATTAATCTGCAGATCAAAAGCTGAAGGTCTGCTGGATTGATTACTACAATTACAACAACTGACAAAGTAAAGCCAAACAAAATAAGGTGTGATTATTTTTCATTGAAAAGATATATTAAGTGTGTCCTTAAAAAAAAATTAAACAGGACAAGTTTACAAAATAGCGAACAATCCTTGCACTTTGCTGTTCTCTGTTTCCAGAGCTCACAGTTATCTCCGTGTGATGTCATTGTCTGCACTGTTGGCCATCAGATGATGGTCAAAGAGAGACTCGCAATCGGCCGGGATTTGTGGGCTGCAGGGTTCAGGACAGATGTCCTTTTCGACAAGACTGAGGTTCGTTTCCTTTTTACAAATTTCCTTTGAAAACAAGGGTCATTACTATAATGGATATTTTCTCAACGTGCATTCGCCATACTCTTCGATATGCTATTTTGTCCACTACTTTTACAAACTGTAATTACTTTGATGAGAGATAATTATAATTACTCTTTTACCATACATATGATGAGCATTTGGAGATATGTTTCTTATTTCTATCTGTCTTGTTGCTTTTGACAACATTTGTTGATGTGTGTCTCTTTAATTCAAAAGACATAGATGATATCTTTTTTATGTCCCGATGTATATTGAGCATGAATTTTCAATGTGGTAGTATAGAGGACAAAATTTTGCTGTTATAAATTTTTGGAGGGACCTGATATTTCTTTGTTAAGACAATTTTTAAGCTGTTTTTTTTTATCATGCAGTATTAAAATTTACTTCCTCGCAGGATTTTGATGAACTGCAAGAGAACTGCAGGAACAAAGGAATTTCTCACATCATAATACTGAAGGATGGTGAAACGTCTGCTGTAAAGGTACGTCTGTGACTATGACAGTCTCGCCTGTTCGATACACCCTTACAGTGAATCCACTGAGAGGTCCTCCTTTTTTACTATCTCTATAATTTTTTTCCGTCTGTCTTGTTTATTCCTAGCAGTAAAAGACTTTAGTTCCTTAGCCCTTTCAGGACCGGTTCCCAATAAAATGGCAATCAGGGGCTATCATATTTTATGTTGCGTCATATACGTAATGCCCTGAAAGACTTAATTCTTTCAACGGCCTTCTCTTTGACTCAGGACAAATCTCTTGCTGTACTGTACAGCAACATCCCCTTTTGTATTTTGATTTGTTTGTGTTTTTTAACATTCCCATAGAAGATTGTAAATAAAAATATCCCCTTTAATAATGACCAGAATGAATGTCTCTCTAAGCAACCAACATTTCATGCCAATTGAGTCCAAATTTTGATATCCTTGGTGCTGTCAAATTTTGACAAATTTGTTTAGCTTACCTTCATGTTTCCACTCACCCTTCAGGTGCGAACCCTGGACAAGGAGCGAATGACTGAGAAAACTGTAATGGTGCACCAGCTGGTGGAGTATCTACAGAGAAAAACAGCGGATAGGAGGTAAATCATCTGTGACTTTCCTTCTCCTCTTCCTTTTCCTCCTCCTCCCTTTTCTTCTCATTTTCCTCCTCATTCTCCTTTTCCTCTGCCTCTTCCTCCTTTCCCTTCTCCTTTTTCTCGTCATTTTCATTATCTTCCTGTTCTTCCTCTTATCCTCTTCCTTTTCCTCGTTTTCCTCCTCCTCCTTCTGCTCCTGTTCTTCATTATTTAATTTTTTTTCCTCCTCATTTTCATATTCTTCCTTCTCCTCCTTTGACACCCCTAAATATTTTCTGATCCTGTTTGCCACTGCAAAAATTTCCTCGGTTCATCCTCATCCCGTCTCCCCTGCTGGTGGGGGGCCCCGTAGTTTCACTATGGGGGAGCAAAGAATACACCTGCCATGATACTGCGTGTCGTAAGAGGCGACTAAAAGTGCATAGGTCTGGTCGCCCGAAAAGTGCCAGTTTGCGGAGGGCCAACTACCCAACCCAGTAAAAAACAGCAAGCTACAGAAACACAGACAAACACAGCTTTTTATTTTTCGATCTTGGGAGACGGAGGAGCTTCTGCATCAGCAGGAACAATGAAGGACAGCGGACAAAGCCGAAAGGACTCTTCTGACCGAAACCTTCTCTGTTGAACAAGTCTCTCTGGATTGCGTTGTGGAATGTTCGCACCTTGTATGAAGCAGGAAAGAGTTCTCAAATAGTACAAGTGATGAAGAGATACAAGCTGCACATACTAGGAGTCGGCAAAACACACTGGATACAGTCTGAACAGAAGCAGCTCTGCTCGGGGGAACAAGTATTGTATTCTGGGAAGGAAGAAGAGTACCATGCGGAAGGAGTGGGATTCATTTTGAGTAAGTATGTACAGAAGTCACTTACAGGATGGGAACCGCACGGGGAAAGGATCATCATGGCTTCATTCACTACAAGGAGCAAGAGCATCAACATGAATATATTACAGATCTACGCCCCAACAATGATGCTTCAGATGGAGACATGGATGCCTTTTTCAGCCAGCTCCAGGGGGTCATCGACTAACTACCAAGGAATGATGTCAACATCATAATGGGAGATGCCAATGCCAAGATTGGTCAGGACAACGTGGGGTATGAAAGAATTATGGGACAACATGGCTTGGGACAAATGAACGAGAACGCGGAGCGATTCGCAAATATATGTGCTTTCAACAGTTTTGTTATTGGAGGCTCTGTATTTCCCCACAAGAGGATCCACAAGGCCACATGGGTTTCGCCAGATGGAGTAACGGAGAACCAGATAGATCATTTTTGTATCTCTCATAAGTTCAGGCGTTCACTGGAAGATGTCAAAGTACAGAGAGGGGCAGATATTGGATCGGATCATCATCTGCTGTTCGCAAAACTCAAGCTTCGGCTCAAAAAGCACGGAACCAGCACAGGAATCAAAAGAACCAAGTTTCAAGTAAGTCTCTTGGACGGACACAAGAAAGAAGAGTTTCAGCTGCAGCTGAGGAACAGATTTCAACCTCTGGCTGATCTTAACGGTGAGGACACGGAGGTGGATACACACTGGACCAAGGTCAAAGAAGTCTTTACATCAACATGTCAGGAAGTACTCAGTGGGAAGAAATGGGAGCACAAGGAATGGATTAGCCAACACTCATTGGATTTAATTAGGATAAGAAGACAGCTGAAGGCAGAAGCGAATGCAAGTAGAACAAGAGGATCAAGAGCGGATGCATTGGAGCAGTACAGGAAAACAGCTAAAGATGTCAAGAAATCAATAAGAAAAGACAAGGAGGAATTCATGAACAGGCTAGCAGAGAAGGCAGAGGAATCAGCCCAGCTGATTGTCAACTTCCTTGACTATGAAAAGGCCTTTGACAGTATAGACCGAGCGACACTATGGAAGATAATGAGACACCACGCAATCCCACAGAAGTTGGTGAACCTCATCAAGAACATGTACGAAGGGACAAGTTGCAGGGTTGTACATGATGGCCAGCTCACTGACAGCTTTGACATCAAAACTGGTGTGAGACAGAGATGCTTACTATCACCGTTCCTCTTCATATTGGCAATCAACTGGCTGATGAAGGAAACCACCAGAGGACACAGAAATGGTATACAGTGGACACCATGGACACAGTTGGACGATCTGGGTTTTGCAGATGACTTGGCGCTTCTGTCGCACACCCAGGAACAGATGCAAGCAAAGACTTCAGCATTAAACAGCCTATCGGAGTCTGTTGGATTGAGGATCCACCCCGGAAAGTCAAAGGTCCTAAGGACAGATGCACAACGAAAGGAGCATGTCACAATAGAAGGAAAGGCCCTAGAAAACGTTGAATCTTTTTGCTATCTTCGGAGCATAATTGACAGAGAGGGAGGAACAGGTGCTGAAATAAAGTCCCGCATTGGAAAAGCACAGGCTGCATTCATATCTTTGGATAGGATTTGGAAGACCAGAGATATCTCACTTCGAACAAAGCTGAGAATTTTCATTTCAAACGTGAAGTCGGTCCTGTTGTATGGATGTGAGGCATGGAACGCCTCAAAGACTTGTATAAAGAGGATCCAGGTTTTCTTGAACAGGTGTCTAAGAAAGTTACTAAGTATCAGATGGACAGACGGGGTCACCAATGTGGAAGTGTTAAGGAAAACAAGACAGATCCCAGTCAGAGATGAGGTAGGAAGAAGGTGGTGGCGATGGATTGGACATACTCTCAGGAAGTCAGGCAGCTGCATAACAACGAAAGTTTTGGATTGGAACCCACAGGGCAAGAGATCAAGGGGAAGACCTCGTGGAACCTGGAGAAGAATCACAGAAATGGATGTACAGAAAAGTGGGAAGACATGGAATAACATCAAGAGGCTAGCCCAGGATAGAGAAAAGTGGAGGGTGTTTTTCCGTGGCCTATACCTTGGTGCAGGGTGAGAAAGGCAATGATGATGATGATAATCCTCATCCCGTACAACAGTCGATGCTACAACAAAGAGACTTTTGTCCTCTTCTATATGGCATAAGGGGACAAGCATGAACTCAAAGTCCTCTGGATTGACAACAGCGAAAGCAGCATTTTGCTCAGAGAAGCGAAATTTCACATTCTTTACAGTAAGCTTTCAAATGTTACCCCCAACCCCCCCCCCCCCCCCCCCACAAATGCATTTTGAATTTGCCACAAAATTTGTTTCACTGTTTGTGCCAACAGTGCCGCAAAACACTGATGCTGTGGGTGGTTAGCAGGTGCTCTGATGTGGTTTGCTCCTTCTTTCCTATCAAACATAAATCGTCCTTATCTCTTTTTTGTTTTGTGTTTGTTACTTTCTTGTAACACCTCAAATCTTCGGCATGAATAAGACCTATTTGTGTTGTAAGGACCATAAAAAAACCTTACTAAAATATTGCAGACCACCATATTCACTCCCTGGTTTTTTTCTTCCCTCGTCCTCTCCCCTACACCCCTCGTCCAACCCAGTGATCCCCAAGAGTTGGCCTGTGGCCGAGACACACGCTTTGTGGCCAAGGAGAGCCCCAGCTACGGCTACGGCGACAGCACCTACAACGTGGCCACCACCAACACCAACAGCGGCGCAACCTCCTTCAACTACAACATCGTCTTTCTCTTACAGGATAAAGGAGCCAAGAATTCGCATGCTAACTCACACACGTACCGACGCAGACATGAGGCTCTGGTAAATATGAATAGGACGCAGTCCCTCCCCACCAATTTTAAATCTCCTCTATGATTTAGTTCTGATAGTTCATTATGCTTATACCTGTCATAGTAGGGTTTAAGGGACACTTTGGTTTGGTCTGCTTTCTTTACTTCTGTTCAGTTTTTGCCATTGGTCTTGTTTATTCCTGCACATGGAGGATTTTCAATGATGGGTCCTTGTTTCCTTTCCGTCAGTAGTTTCTGCCTGTACGTCTACTCTTTGCTAGCACTAAATGACTGTTATCATGTGGATGTGCTCCCCTTACAACTGAAAAGTGGCCTAGTGTTTAGGCTACCAGACTCATAATCATGAGGTTTGGGGGTTCGAGCCGCGGCCCCAACGTTGTGTTTTTGGGAAAGGCACTTTACACTAATTTTCCTCACTTGACCCAGGTGGAAATGGGTACCCGGCTATAGACAGCGAAAGGTTTTGTCAGTATGTTAGTGTTCTAGCGCCTATAAATGGCTGCTTGCACTGTATGCTTCCCAGGAAGTTGAGGTTGTTTCAGAATGCCCTCAGGTCTGCTGGGGTAATAGTATAGATTGTGAAGTGCTTAGAGCTTGCTGTTGAGCGGTGATTTGCGCTATACAAATGCTGTCTATTATTATTAAAAGACTACATCTGATCTTGTCAAATCAATGGCAAAAGGATGCCCTGCACTTTATCTGGATATGCAACCCCTTCTATTAGTATTAGTCTCTTAAGCTCAGGACTCGTTTATCCCCAAACTCATGTGCTTCATACTTTTTTTCTCGTGCTCAGTCAATATTTATTATTGCATTTTTCTTGCAGGATCAATGCTTATTCTTGATTTTTCCTTCTTCTTCTCTCTCTGGGTCAAGTGCTCTGCCTTCAACATGAGGCAACAGATCAGAGGTGCCCTCTTATAGGTCCTTCATCTTTATTATCCCTAGTTAATTTTTTCGTCTCTTGCTTTTTCCTCTTACTAAATGACTTTATCGTGTCAATGCCCTTCTCTTTAACTCAGACAAGCAAGTGGGATGAAGGTGTTTCTGATAGGTTCTCTGCTTTTTTATTTTCCCTCTGTTATTTCTTTCTATCTGTCTTTATTTTTCCCTATCACTAATGTAAGTGACCATTATTGTGTCAATGTGCTTCTCTTTACTCGAACAAACAAACTGACAATGCCCTGTATGTGTCGAGAAGAGCTTTAGTATCATGTGGAAAAACTCAAACCAACTTTCTCTACCTTCAGATTGCAGGTAAAGTGTCCACCCAGTTCCCGTGGTTACCAGAGAAGAACCTGGAGGTTTTGGCCCTGGACATGCCCACATCATGCATCAAAACGATACAGGCCTACATAGAGCTGGGCGACCAGGCAGCCTTCGAGACCAGCATTGGGACCATCATGGAGAAGTAAGTTATAGTTTTTCTTGCAAAACCGGAGCTGACTAGGGGTGTAAATAGCCAGTCCACTGTCTCAACAACTGAGATGTGCTTACAGCACTAGAAGGGTACCACAGGAGCACTTCAACCTCTTGTGGTAGGAATAGTTGTCGTTTACCGGTGTTTGTGGTGTTGTGGTTAGGTGCTTCGCTGTCGCACGTAGGAGACCGGAGTTTGATTCTCGAGTGAGGAGAAATTTTTATTGAGTTTCTCTGTCTTTCTGCAAGAATGTTGTATCCCTCTCAGTCCCGATTGGGCCTGACAGGAAGGATCAGAAGCCCACCCCTTAAATGATCTAAATTGTGTCAGTGGGGGCATAAAGACACCTATATTGAAAAATTAAAGTAAGTTGTAATTTTCCATGCAATACCTGAGCTGGCAGAGGGTGTAAATAGTCAGTCCTCTGTCTCACCAATTTGGAAACTAGAAAGGCACCATTGTTATGCTTCACCAACTTGTGGTGGGGATAGAGTTTTTGCTCCCTACTGCTTCTCCATGTATGGCTTCTTTATAACTTTATTATATATGCGGATCTGTGAACTGTGGGTTTGTTTATCTAAAAATTTAATATCCAAAATCCTTCAGTGTTGACCTGCCTTCACATTACCTACTTATGTGTAACAGAACATTAAGTATGTTCCAACATTAAAGGTGAAACTGTCATTCTTTTTCATATGTGATTTAATTGCTGATTAACTTCTTTTGTAAAGTTGTAGTGAATAGGGAAAATAACAAAAAAAACAATGGGATGGAAAATAAGAGGTCTCATTTTGGTACTGAGAACACGATAAATTAAGGATTATGATTAAAATAAGTCATGTCTTTAGCTTAATTGATAAGACATCTACTTGTATATGATAAAAGTTGTATTGATGGACAAAATGGGAAAAGGCAAATAAAGATAAAAACAAGCAACGGCAAAAGTGTTACATTGTGGCTTATGTTGTTTTTTTCCCCATGCTCTCTTGTTTTTTTTTATAGTAGAGGGTTTTACGGCGCTCGCAACTGCATAAGGTCATATGAGCACCAAGGGGTGGGTGTCAACAGAGAAGTCTTTACAGGGAATCAGACTTACTCTGCTCACCTCTCTAGCTTCAACAGCACAAGGACTGCTTCGACTATCAAGGCACCCCGGAAATAGCGGGTCACTAGAGAGTGACAAACATACAAAAGAAGTAGAGGAAAATGACAATAGTAAGGATTAGGAAAGAAAAAGCAGCAGTTCCGTGTTGTAGATCAGGCACAGTTCTGAGCTTGACATGATGAGTCAGCCCATTTACAATTCTACTATGCTTGAACGAGAAATGTCCCCCCTTTGGGAATGACCTAAAGACACTACAGTCAGTGGCACTGCCCCAGGGGGTAACCCATGTTCTCTTTGTGTGCCATCGCTAGCTATTAAAGGCTAAATGTGGCAGATGTTGTAATGATTTGCCAAATAATACAAATCAACTATGTTCTCTTCTGTTCTCAGACAAGCCAAGCTGAGGAAATATCTGGTGGGAGTCTGTGACACAATCCATGATCTGAGATTCAAGAAAAAGTAAGGGCCATATTTGGGCGATGATATCGGTGCTGTTGTGCCACATGAATGTTCCTGTTGGTAAATTATGTAATGTAACGAGTGTGAGTGATCAGAGTCGGCATGTGGTTGAACCTGTTTCTTTTCGATCCTGCTTTTATTTCTGTCTGTTTTACCCCTACTCTGAATTGATATCATTATGTTGTATGTGTTACTTTTTGTCTCATAACTGATGTATGGCTTGTCTATCTTTTCATGTGTTATTTAATGTTTGCACTTGATCAATGTCAGGCAAGAAGAATCTAGTAAAAAGGCAGTCCATATGGTAGGTCTCACCTGTTTCTAGTTCAGCTTTTTCCACTTTTCCTCTCATAAACCTTTCTTAAGTGCCTCCTGATGTTCTTCATATCTACTTGTCAGCTTTAGATAGCTGATTAGCACTTTGATATGGTTTGCTCCTTCTTCTTTTTCAGGATTACTGCACCTGCTTCCTGACAAAATGTGTCTGTTTTCGTGCTGACTCAAAATAATATCTTTTCAATTCTACCTACAGCTTTCTGTACTTTTTGCTTTGCCTATTTTATTTTATGGGCTCAACGAATGGCCCTGTATCCTTCATTAGTTTTTTGTTTTTACTTGACATGGTGTCATTGTTCATGTAAAACTGATCGACATGATGGGTGATTGGAGGGTGCTCTGGTGTGGTTTGCTCCTTCTTTCCTATCAAACATCTACGGTCCTCATCTCTCCTCTTCCTTTTTTCATGCTGCTTTTTAGCAATATCTCTTATCTTCGGCACGTATGTGACCTTATTGTGTTGTAAGTGACGTAAAACTGACTGAACTTCTTTTCTTTTTATATTACTCTCTTGTAAGACCTCTTATCTTCTTCACTCAAATTACCTATTTGATGGGTGGTTGGCGGGTGCTCTGATGTGGTTTGCTCCTTCTTTCTGCCAGTTGTTTTGTGCAAGAAAAATTTTGAAATTATGCAAACTGAGCCCAAAAATGTGAAATTATGCGTATCTGTTAATTTTAACAAAGAATGATAAAGGAAAATAATCAGTAATTCTGCAAAAAATGATCAAATTTTGCTAAATTATGCGGGGTGCATAAAACCACGGGGACAGTTGTTTCCAATCATACCTCTGTGGTCCTTATCTCCCTTCCTTCTTTTTTGTGTATGTTACTCTCTCGAAAAAATGGTGAACAACCGCCTTTACTGGTACCTGGAAAACTCCAACAGCTTGAACCCACACCAAGCAGGTTTTAGAAAAGGCAGCAACACAGAAGACCAACTTTTCAAACTGAGTCAAGACATCCAGGATGGTTTCCAGGAGACTAAACATACTGTTGCCATCTTTGTAGATCTCCAACAGGCGTATGACAGAGTGTGGAGAAAAGGCCTACTCATGAAAATGATGGACCTCGGGATACACTGGAAACTTTATAAATGGATCAAGTTTTTCCTAGCGGATCGAAACATCGAAACAAAGGTGGGTGAACAATGCCCACTCGTCAAGAGAAGTACTCGAGGAGGGCCTACCCCAAGGTTCCTGTCTGAGTTGCACTTTGTTCCTGGTCCTCATTAATGATGTGACGAACGTGCTGAAATCAGAAAAGACTCTCTACGCTGATGATCTTGCTCTCTGGCAGACACATCACAGCACGGTAGTAGGAGCAGGAAAATTAAATGAAGACCTCAAGAGGCTCCACAATTACTGTCAGAAATGGAAGCTCAAAATAAACTGCTCGAAAACAGTATACACCATCTTTACAAAAAATCATAAAACAGCCAAAGAAAAACTCCAACTGAAGATAGGAAATGAAAATCTCCCCAAAGAAGAACAACCAACGTATCTAGGCAGGTAAAGT